CGTACAAAGAGCAACAAAAAAGTATTCCATAAAAATTTTCGTATCTCGACGGGGAACCGAGTTATGATAAAAAAACTGAGTTTAACCCTTTTTTCAAGATGGCGGAAAACCCACAAGGTTTTTTTGGTCGACAATTTGAACTTAAGCTTTTCTAGCCACCCCCCACGTAATATCCAAAATTTGGCTTTCTCGGTACATTTGCATTTCCAAATGTATATAATGACTGGACTAGTGGTAGAAATTAATAATGTAGCACATAGTAATAGGTTTATTCACTCCGCGGGCTTTAATTAAGTATTTGATGTTTACAGAACATTTTGCTTTCATAATGTAAATACTAAGGTTTTTTATGTTTGTTTTGAAATAAATCATTGATGAAAATATCTTTTGTCTTTAAAGTATAGTTATTTTAATGCATTTCTATTCTTAATTGTTAAATAAGTCTTATTGATTTAGTAAACAAACAAATTTGAACAACAACTAAGAGCACCTTTGGTTTGGATCGATCGTGATAGATAACGTTCATTCTCTCGAGGTGTTCTACGTATAGTTTCCGTCACGATTTTCAATTATCATTAAATTCCTTGCAGTGACAATAAAAAAATAGGAGCACCACTTAGAAAAAATATATATTATTTTGTATGATGTTTTACCATATGAAGTGTATATAATAACATTCCTTATTAAATAATTCCTTAGTAGATATTTGCCTGGACGCTCAAAAATCAGGTCAACTGAGAATTACCGATTAGTAATTTTCGCATTCGCCTTTCATAGGAATGGTTTATTATCCTAAGCGAGGAGCTTAGGTGCTTCGGAGGGACATGTGAAACTTTTGTTTCACACCCTCTAATCCAGTTATTAAATCACGGTTGTTTATTTTAAAGATTATAAAATAACCCAAAAAATATAAACTCGGGGCGACAATACATCTTTTTACTATTTATAGAAGAATTTTCGAAAGTTCTAGAGTTGACTTTCTACAAAATAAATACAAACTTTCCTTCTTTATAATAATGTATTACGAAGAAGCAACTGTTAATTAGTTGCTTCTTAGTAATCGACCAAGTGCCTGCGACTTAACCTGCATGAAAATGATTGATATTCCATCGAATCTTTAATTTTCTACAAAAACAGCATCAAAAAACGTCCCTTAATATTTTCATATCTATAGTATATAAAAAGAGATAAATTAATAGTTTAAAAAAACTAGAAAAACACGCTTTTATAAATGCACGTAAAAACCAAAAATCAATTATGGATCGTTCAAGTTGTCTCTATTTCTGAGCTGAAGTGTAGATTATGTGCTTTTAATTATAATATTAGACTGTAAAAGCGGGGGGCGCTGGAACAGGAAAGACTTTTGTATAACTTGCAGAGAAATCAAGTCAAGCGATGTTACGGGAAGCAAGTTACACAGATTGGCGCTCCATAACTGGAGTTGCAGCACGACTAGTATTCCATTAAATAATCTATTCATTATAATAATGAATATTGCATTACTAATATCTTGATTTCTTAGTCAATTACACAAAACACACACTGACTGACTGACTGACTCATCAACGTACAGCCGAAACGGCTGGACTTAGAATGATGAAATTTGGACAGTAGGTTCCCATTACTGCCAAGAGAAATAATAAGATCCCCACCTTTTTTGTTTTAATTCATCCTCTTAAGCGTGAAATTTGCAAAAAACGTTTGTTCGTAAAATATTATCTCTTAGACCTATTGACTGCAAATTGTGCTTAAATATTATTTAATAGATACACAATAATCCTAAAGTGCATAGAATTGATTAAAATCTTGCACACCTACTCTGTATAAAATACAAATGCTATCTGTGTTTTCATTTTAAACTACCCTCATATAACAAAGATAAATCATGTTGAACGCCTACACTTTTGGTCGTAGAGACATAATATTTAGTAAATAATTAGATTGTTTAAATGACGTAGCAATCAAGCGAGAAAGCATTTTTTTTTGTATATTCCACCGTGAATTGAACTAACTTAAAAAAACCTGTTACATATATTTTTTTAAATTCGATCTCTACAACGAGATTTAAGGATAATATATTCAGCTTTGCTGTATTAAGTTATTACTAGCTGCCAATTTAAGAACGAATTAAAGATTAATTAAAGACGACGCCCACCGTACTCGCTGAAATCCCGCCAGCGTTACCAACCCTACTGTTTTAACAGTAGATTTGCTGTTTTCACATTGATGACCATGTTTTCTGTTTCATTCCTATTTTCTACTGTTTTTCGCGTTCAGCGCCACCTCCACACAAATTACTCCACCCTAGCCAAATCAGATGGTTGTCGCTTATTGAGGTAGTAAATAGGCTTCTGGAACAATTACCAGCTATAAAATTGTATTTTCAAGCTACAGTTCATGTAGATAGATTACTTTCTGCGCAATCAATTCTCTCCAAGGCTCTTGAACCGACAACTGAATTGTACCTGGAATTTTTGAAATTTGCATTACCTATATTTACCGATCTCAATAAAGAAATGTAATCCGAGACTCCGAAATTATATTAACTATACGACAAAATACTGACCGCATACACAACGATCTTGGAATGCTTTGTACAAGCTGAATATTTGAATCTCACTGAACAAGAAAAAAATGAAGCACAAAATATTTTACACGCAAAAGAAACTAAAATATTAAACCTTGACTTCTCGAGTGAGCAGAAACATTTACCGATGCAACATATATACGTTGGTGGAATGGTGCCAAATTTGATCAGAGGAAAGAGAGAAATAGGAGAACTAGAGGAAGAACAGCTGAAAATTTTCTACTTAAAGTGTAAGGAGTTTTATATCGAGGCTGCAAAACAGATATTAAAAAGGTTTCCTTTTGACGACAAAGACCGTCAAGCATTAAAATGTCTGAAGATGCTAAATCCTAAAGCAATTCTGGATTCTGAAATAAAAAAGAAATTCCCTTCCATTGCAGATTTACATTATTTCTTCCCAAAGATTTGTCCAAATAATATAACGGAACTGGATAGAGAATGGCGAATGTTAAGAAATGTCGATTTTTCTTTCGACCAAAACAAAACTCCCGATATTATCGACTTTTAGAAACATGTACAAGAATTAAGAAATGGAGACGAATCTCAAACATTCCCTACATTGTGTGAATTGGTAAAGAAGCTTTTGTGCCTACCACATAGCAGCGCCGCCGTGGAAAGGTTATTTTCTGCTATAAATATTATGAAAACCAAATTATGCAATAGAATATCGACTACAACTATTAAAGCAGTATTACACACTAAATCCGAAATAACTGATTGCTATTCATTCAAAGCCACAGAAAAGCACATGAAGAAATTCAACAAAAACATGTATGATTTTAAAAATAAAAATGAGTGTGAAAATATTGAAGATGAGGCAATTGAAAATGAAACTGAAAAATAATTTTACTTTGATTTTTGTTTTATGTTGCTGTGATTATAAATATATCAATTGATGTGAGTTCTAGTAACTAAGAAAGTTGTTTATTATTTAATTATATGAGCAAAATTATGAAATCTGCCTTTTTTTCTTTACCTACCGCTTTCTACTGTTTTTTTAGGCGAGTTGTGGTTTTTTAGTTTTTTGAGGTTGGCAACACTGAATCCCGCTAAAAAACCACTCCTATATCTTATTATACACTATCTATACTCCATACTATTACGAGTATATAAAGAGAGAAAATGATACACTGAATGACTCATCTTGACCCATTAAAGTTTTATTCTAAAGGATTACAATAAAACAACATTTTTGTTGGTGTCACATCATGTTTCTTAAACCACTTAACTGATTTTCAAAATGAAATCTTCAATGTTTGAAATTGTAGAAGAATAAGTTTTGTTTAAGAACAACTTTTGTTTCGTTAATCCCACGGACACGGGATCTCCAGCGGTAAAATTCTATATTTCAAACACGACGAAAACTATAAACTCTATCAGTCATTGGTGATCCGTCAAAGAATCAAAAACAATATCAGTCAGTTGTGATCTGTCAAAAGTCAAAAAGTCTCTCTGTATGTTGTGATCTGTCAAATAGTCAAAAAATATTTTAGTTTGTTGCCATCCGATAAAGAGTAAAAATCTTTGTCAGTCAGTTCTGATCCGTCAAACAATCAAAACCTCTGTCAGTCAGTAATGATCCTTTAAAGAGTAAAAACATCTGTCAGTCAGTTGTGATCTATCAAATAGTCTGTCTGTTGTGTTTCGTCAAAAAGTCATAAAGTCTGTCTGTATGTCGTGGGGCGTGACTACGATCCAAAAGACAAAGGAAAAGAATAATATAAGAAACTAAGTCCGGCTACTTTCAAAATCTGTATTAATTTATTCATGTTCTTCTTTTGGATGATGATTCATTAACTTTAAATAGTATTTATTACACCCGTGTGAAGCCGGGACGGGCCGATAGTTTATATTAATATTAAATATTTACTACGTCTTTTTAAAGTTAATATGTTGTGTAACACTACCTTTTTCGTAAGAATCCTATGATGACATAGTCGTATTTTTTTTTTAAGCATTTAACTGCCTGATGTTTAAATTTAAAGAAAATTTTACTAGACAAAAATTCCACGCGGACCAGGCAGCAGACGGGACTCGAACCCGCACCCTTCGCTATCCGGGCGAATGCACTGACCATTATGCTACCGCGGCAGTGACGGCCGCTTAGAATTTTCTCTAGTATTTTTTAAGCTGCAACGCAGAGCCATCTCTTCGCATTTTCGCAAATTTCTTTTAAACTTAAAGATCTAGCAGTAAATGCTTAAAAAAATAAAAATATAAGTATAAGTGTTATTCCTCATATGAAATGTTTATTACTTGTAAGGGTATTCATTTGACATTGTGGGTTACGTACAATGCTAAGAGATGGCGGGAATTAGGAATAAATTAATACGAATCTTGATCGCATTGGTATTAAACAATTACTGCTTACTTACTTCATGAAAATTATTTTTCCCTAGGCACATAGCAAAACATGATGGCGACGTGGGTCTGGGTGTTAGCCGCGGTCGCGGTAGCGTGCGCGGGCGCAGACCGCGGCGGGTCGTCGCTGCGCGGTGCGCTAGAGGCACTGCAACGGCGGCAGCGTGGTAGAACGCACGGGCCATACGCGCCCCAGCCTGACTACGACGCCTTCTACGAATTCGTTCCACCGCAGGCTTACCCAGGTAAGGCAGTCATTAAGCCACTACTTCTAATATAAAAAAACTAGCGCATGTTAGTAAGAATGTCAAAGTTTAATCATTAACTCTTTATTATATTACAGAAATTGACTATCCTGTGGACGTAGAAGATATCGATGAAGAATCCAACCCAAAGTACATAATCAAGCTTTTAGAAGATGAAGAAAGGTCTCCTGAAGCTTACGAATATAGAGTAATAAAAAAGAAAAACTCTAGATCTGTCGCTGAAAAGTCCAACAATAAGAAAGAGTCGGCTTTTCGTGAAAGAAGCCATCATTCTGATAATGAACGCCTTCGAGATCTCTTCATAGCAAAAAATGAAGCAGAAGAAAATGAAAAAGGGCTGGATGATAGAGCCCAAAATGATGCTGAATACGCTCTTCTCTTAGGGCAGCTTTGGTCAAAATACAAATACAACAAAGTGCACCCCAACAACGTAGAACAATCACCACAAGGGGTAGTAAAATTATATAAAGAAAAAGTTGTGAAAAAACGCTTCCCAGATAATTGGGGACCCATTGCCTTTAAAAGAAAGCGTAGCTCAGATTCAGAAATGGATCATCCTAACACACCAGAATATGAAGGAAGGAAACATGGAGATATTTTAAATGACCCTAGCTTTAATGCCTATGAAGTTGCAGATGACGATAAAGATGATCTTCGGGAAGAATACGCAATAGCTTTTCAGCCACTCGATGATGACACCCTCACTGACCTAAGTGATGAAGACCAATATGTATATGACACAGTAGAAAAAAGGTTTCCAGTTACCAAACGTAGCAGTGGACCTTATAATTATGGCATGCAAAAGAAAAGATTTGCGTTAGATCAAAACAAATATGAGAAAACTAAGACATTTAGAAGCAGCTCTGGAACCGATCCTAGAATCGTTGAGGATTTGTCTAAAATATTTGGTGGTGCTGATACTGATATTATTAAAAATCCTGTCAAAAGAAGCAGTGATCATGATGAAAGTTCGCACGAAAGTAAACCACCAAAATTAGCGACGATGCATCATAATCATACTCATGATCATAGCAACTCTACCAAACATGATGATGAAAGTCACGAGCATCATGAACACGGTATAATGCATCATCCTAGAATTTCTGGTAAAGAAGAAGAAATCGTACACCACCATGATCACAGTGATAATAGTGAGAGTCGTAAACCTATCAATATAAAGAAAAAATCCATTGATTGGTCTGACTATTTCGGTATTGACAAGCGTAACAAAAATCATCATCAAGTGTCATTTATCAATGATCCAACTCAAAAGAAACTAGGAAGACAATATTTTGAAACCTTTAACAAAGAAGTAATTTACCCTCTTAATAGTTTTCGGCAGCATAACAATGTAAAACGAAATTTTGTTCAGCCTAAGGCAACTGAAGAAAATGATAAAACTCGTGATGTTTCTTCACTAACTAATGACAAACGAGATACTGCTTCAGATAATGATGCAAAACTAGATAACATTGACAGAAAGCTTAAAACAATGGAAGGTTTGATTGTTGACGAGGCTCTGCATTATTCAGAAGTTGGCGAGGAACTGGATTCCAAAGAAGAACAAGAAATGAAAGAAAAGCTTTTATCTCGACTGGCAGCTGCTTATAGCTTAGAAAAAATGAGGAAAGCTCTTAAAGAATTTAAGCAGAGTCTTCAAACACAAAAGTCAGAATCAACGCACCAGTCTTCTTCACCAATGCCAACAGACGAGGCAAAGGCTAAACGAGTAGCTGTAAAAAAAGAAAAAGTGGAAATTAATGACATTCCTATTTTCAATAAAGCGATTCAGCATAATGATGATTTCGAGGACGAACAGGGAGCGGGACATTATTTGAACGGAAAAATCGAAGAACAATTCTCCGAAGGGTACATGGGAGGCAGCGGCAGACATCGTACTCCTGTTTTATCGACAGGTACTGTAATTGCAAAACTATAAAGTTTATATTAATTATTTAGATATTCTTAAAGAGAACCATCACATATGTTTCTATATGAAATTTCAGGAAGCGCTACTGGTTCGTGTCCAGTATTGGGGAAGATCATACAACGATGCCAGGGTGTAGACTTACTTGCTGGAGATCGCGGTCAGCTGTTCTTGCCTCTCTGTAGTTTGCATCAGATCTGTTATCTTTGCGTATGTATAATGCAATGCAGTTTACATATCAAGAATTTAAACAATATAATCATAGCACTTTTGAACGCTAACATACTCATTTTTAAATTTAATTATATAATCCTTATACTTTATCTTTTGCAGGGCGAAGCTCCCCCAACGACTTGTGACCTAGTATTCTTGTCGGAAGCTGACACTGCTTGCGAGGGTGACATGGGTTGTCAACGTGCTGCAAGGTCTGCTCTAATGGCTCTTCGAGAACTTCATGACAGTCTAGCTGATGAGCTCGATGGAGAGTGTGAGGCCAGCCCATGCCTACCTGCAACCCTGAAACTCAATCTAGGCTGGCAGCGAGCGCTTCAGCGATAAATGGAAAATAACACAGGGACAGTTATGCGCACTACGTCGGGAGTAATTTTATTGCCATTCCTCATATTTGAAAACTTTGTTATGATCTAATGTCTAATTTATTTTTGAATAATGTCATCTAATGTTGTTACTTATGGTCATAATTACAGATCTGAAATGGCACTAAAATTAGGCAAAGATTTCTCGAATATTTCCCCGGAAGACGAAACCATGCTGTGTAGCCTCAAGAAATGTGGCATTATAAATTGGTGACCGTCCCGGCGAACGTCACGAGGAATTTCGACACTGAACAGTATTTCTGATCTAGATCTCGAAGATTTCATCATTAGCATTAGTAGGGAAAGCCCGCATATTCCTACGAGTCTAACCAGCCATAGACGCGTGGGAGTACAGCGTATGTAAAAGTTCACTTTGAACAACCATAGCATCATCGCTGGCGTTGTATGTAACGCTATCTGCTAAGCTTTCATTGTTAAATTTATGTCATTTGAATATTATATTATATTAAACGTTGTATGAAACATTTTTCTATATGTTTTTGCTGTTTCATCTATAAAGTATTTAGGGTTCGGGACAGGACTAGATATTGATGATATTCAATATATGTATAATTCGTATTATTTATTGATGTACCAAGATGGTAATTTTATCGTTGTTAAGTATTTACGTACATAAGTGTGTCGACGTAAGTATTGGACTTAATTGTAATATCATGTAATAAATGTGTTTTCAATTTTCATACATTAAATAGTATGATAATTATAAATGGGAGATTTTATCATGACGTGGAACGATGAATAAATAAACTCAAATTATAAAATTCATATTTAAAATATTATTAACGTCTATATTTTCATATTCTTTTAATTTAGATACATACTAAATTTATATAAGGATGAGGCGATAAGAAATGAAATAGGGAAGTGTGCTTGGTCAGATCTAATTTCTGGAGACGGTTTGTTGGTCCACATAAAACAAATCATGCCTTTTATCTAGAACAAATGCGACTTAGCACTAGTGCTGCACTTTAGACTTTACTAGACAATAAAATACTTTTTTGTTTACACTCGACCTGTGTCCTGGTCATGAGGTGTACATTTTTTTACGAGCGCGATGTTGCTCTCAAGTCTTCCGGACCATTTGGCTATCAGTTCTGTGAAGTTATAATCTATATACTAAGTACTGTCACATCTCCTCCAATTGAAATTTCACAATACGTGTTTTATCTCTATATTTAACGTTAATATTAGAGACCTTGGAAGATTGTAGTTAGATTTTAATGGATGTAATTTATGAATAACGCTATACTACGGCGGTATTGCCAATCATTTTAACAACTTGAATGTTATCACTTTATTCGTAAAAATGTTCAAGTACTTATTAACACACGAATATAAATGGTTTTCAATAGCGATATAGTTTTATTTGATTTATCATAGCTGCTATCTGCATCCTCTACAAATGATGGGTTAATTCACTACACTTCATGCGACTCACATCACGCCTCATTCACGAAAAGGAACTTTAGAAATTGTTGGTGACAGACACTAACCACCAGCCTACATATATAAGCTTTTTGATTATTCTTTTCTTAGGTTCATACCCAAATCTAACCCAATGGAACCCTGAACGGAAATTTCTTAACTTCTGATGATGTCGAAAAAATCTACTCGGTATAGCAAGCAGGTGTTAGGCTAGAATTGAACCAGCTCATTTTGCTATCTAGGCAAATGCATTATCATCATCAATCTGCGCTAACTGACCTGTTAAAAAAACGCGCATTTATTATTGCGCAGAAGTAAAAATTAAGATGTCTTGCGGGAAACAGACAGAAACAGGGCGTGCGTTGCGCCGATTGGCTTTCCAGTCGTACCCATGCGCAGCTATCCCTTCCGCGTTTTGTTCAGCGCTAGAGTTACGTGCCGCGACCTGTATTATGATGATGCTATCCACCCCGTTAAACGACGGATTCGATGAAATATTTTTTCTTAACTGTTCCGAAGTAAACGAAGTGGGACGACCGGGGCAGATAGTATCCACTCCAATTATTCTTAGCGTGATTGTTAAACTTGAAAATCTTCATGAAGACAATTTGCAGGCAATTATAATATCAAATGAGATACGTTTACAAGTATTTAAAGTCCGTAATTACGGTATTGGTGAACCCCTGCTTGACTGGTTTCAGTCATATCTGGCAAACAGAAGCTTCATGGTTGTAGTTAATGGTTACTCTTCGAATCCGTTTCCTATTAGTTCCGGTGTTCCTCAGGGATCACATTTGGCTCCTTTGTTGTATAACGTTTTCATTAACGATATAGGTGAATGCTTTCGGAATTCGAATTATATTCTTTTTGCGGACGACTTAAAGATCCATAGAGTGGTGAACACACCGGCCGACGCTATGTTATTACAGGCTGATCTCAACTGTCTGGTGGATTGGTGTCGAGATAATGAAATGAATTTGAATGCTTCGAAATGTTTCTGTGTGCACTTCTCTAGGAAAAAAGTACTGACCAATTATAGGTATAAAATTGCGAGCGAAGTTTTGGAGGATACCGACATTGTGAAAGACTTGGGAGTGTGGTTGGATAGCCAATTAAGATTTAATATTCATATTGATAGGATTTGCTCTAGAGGGTTTAAGAATCTTGGTTTCATTTTGCGAATATGTAGGGATTTTAGGTCTCCTAAAACTAAGATTCTTTTGTTCAATTCCTTTGTACGCAGTGGTTTAGAGTACTGCAGTGTGGTCTGGAATCCATTTTATGAAGTATATAAAAAGAGATTGGAATGCATACAAAAGCGATTTCTATGGCACCTTACATACTCCTGTAATCTGGGTAGGACACTTCTCCATTATGAAGAAAGACTGAGTCATTTTAAAATTTGTTCTCTTTCGGACCGAAGACGCATGTTGGACTTGTTATTTCTTTATAAACTAGCGAATGGCATCCTGGATACTCCTGAGTTAGTGCAAATTCTGACATTTTCTGCTCCATCAAAACTCCCTCGCTCCTCAAGATTTAATATTTTCGTGGAATCTTACTGCCGCTCTAATCTTGGCCAAAATGCGCCTATAAATAGAATGATCAAAGAGCTGAATAGCATGAGCAAGAGCAACGATTTGGACTTATTCAAGGGTGACATTCGCAACTTTAAAAATAAACTAATGTGACATCTTCTTTTAATTAATTTTATTGTAATTTGATTTTAATTGTGTTATTATTTCTATAAATTAATTTTATCTGTAATTTATTGTGACTAATTAATTTCGATTCATTTTTTTTTTAATATAAGTTGACTTTGTTCGATATAACGATTTATTCGATATAATGATTTGATTTTAACCGGGACATTGTTGAATATATGTTTTTTTTAAAACTTACAAAGCTTTTAAAGGCTTTTTCATCAACAGTTTACCAGCATTTGTTGCTTCTTTTCCATAACGCATGTGGTCTTCACCTATAATTGTAATAACATTAAGCTTAAGTATTTTATCATTACCTGCTAGATTGTTGTGTCAATGTTTATTATGTCGGTGATCAAATAAATAAATAAATAAATAAGTATCAAACATTAGAAAGAAGAAATAGCGTTGTACTAAATCCATAATTTTTATTTTAAACATTAAACTGCTAAATTTTCATTCCTAAAGATTTTTTAATCAAATATATTAATTCTTAGCGAACTCCTTTAGCTCTCATGACAATTTTGTTTGTTACTTTAATTAAAATGTAGGTGTACACATTATTAATTTATTAACATAGCATAGAATCATACTTCGTGATACATAATCCGATTTATCTATAAAGATAAGTCGATAACGGCCAACGAACATTGATAATGCAGTATGTAATGACAAACCGCAAACGAATAACACATACAACGAAAACTAACAAAAGAAACAAATATTTGATTTATTTATAAGGTTTACTTTTACCGTTAACACAATGAATGACAGTGTGAAGGAGCAAAATGGAATTGATAATCCCGCGGTGACTATTGGTATGTAAGTACCCTGTGATGTGTACAGTTGAACAAATGTGGACTGCTACTTTTTCCTGGTCTAGATTATCTAAGAACGGTTCCGATAATTGATGATAGATGAAACTCTGAGAACTATCAGATCAAACACCCTTAATAAGCAAACAACCAACTTCCTCGCATGCAAATCAGGATAATATAAAACAATATTCTGGATAACTCACATGTATATTGTTGTGAACTTTTATGCTGTCACTAAAAATCCCTCGAGCCACTTAAACCCATTTTGATGGATATTTTTGCAGTCTTAAATATTTTAATTCAGATTTTTTTTTGGAAAGTGGTCCATTTCCAAAATATTTCGGCACATTACAAATGCCATAAACATGGCACTTGCAACAGTGACGAAATATCGTATCGGGGACACACAAAATACACTGTGCGTCCGTGGTAACAATTACGCTAATTACTTTAATGCCATATATTCATAAAGCAATAAATTTTTCGGACGATGAAAGAAACCTGGAAAACTTCTCTGATAGTCTCATTCTTATCTATTTAGTCTTGGAAAACGGAAAATATAGTAAGTAATTACGCGGTAAGAAGCCGTCATTGTTTCCTAACAATAGATTTTGAAAAGGGTTCCTACCAATTAAGGCATCGTTATGGGGGCTATGTCAGCTATGGTAGTGTCTCGGTACTGTCTTCTTTATTTGCTCGAATAAAACATTGAATTTTCACTATTATAGAAATGAATAAATCTTTTGCATTAATTGGATTATTCTAACTCTGCGATATCATATTTGCCGTTTCATTTTGGTAGTATCCGGAGTAAGAAGTAACTTGACTGTGGACTTAATTGTAAAGATAATGCGCACGAAGAAAAATACATAAATCCTTAGTTTGTTCGTAGAAAAACTCTAATAACAGACTTATACTTACTTACTTAAGTGCTTAAATAATTAAGCACTTGTTATTTCCGTAGATGATGGATCACATATGAGACCAGAGTTGGTGATCAATGTCCAGCCACAATCAGAAGGTAATTAAATGATTTTTCTTCGACCGATTCGAAGTATTAACTTAGTTCAGTAACTTAATTCGTTTCATAGGCAGCGAAATCTCTTTCTGATTCTGTGTTTGTCGAAGCTGTGCTGTGCTGTGATCATCAGCAGCCTATTAATGGCCCCACTGCTGGGATACAGGTCTTCCCTTTGGATGGAATAGGGAGATTGGGCCATGAACCACCACGGGGCCCCAGTGCGGATTGTTGGGTGCTAATGACTGCAAATGCAGCCATGATGAACGGCTTAAAGTGGCTACTAAAGTACGGAGGAGCTAGAGTAAATTTTTGGTTACCCATCCAATGAGGCAATACTGCAAAAGATGATTAACTTCAACGATCGCAGCGGAACACGCTAACCTTTTTGCGCCTTTAAGTTCCTGGTGTGCGTATGCTTTTAAGTGAACTCACTCCTATTTGTAGTTATTTCCATTTTATACAATTTTATTAGCACTGATTTCGTAATTTTATCAACAGGTCGCGCTGAACTACCGGTTACAACAGAAAACTGGCAATCAAACCCTAGAGGCCAGTTCATCCCAAGACACGGCCTGGACTTTCTTATAGGCGTTTCAAGACTTATCATAAAGCAAACCATCGAGCTTAATGATCGTAAGCAGTATATTTTGTAATATCATTTATTTTAAGACCATATCGCATTCCACAAGAAAAAAGTCCTTACAAACATTTGTATCATATAACTTTCGAATTAGGACTCTCGGAAATAGTGACGCACAGTCTACTGCAGTGGCTTAATTGGGTGATAAAGTAATGTTTTAATAAAGATCAATAGATAATGATAGCTTTCTTTTTTGTTTTATATCGATATCAAGCATGGAATGACTAACCAATACAAAGAATTTACGGCTCTGCCAACCTCCTGTCTAATTCTCAAACAATATGTCTGGATTAAATTAAATTAATTGAAATTTCGTAGTGATGACGAATAACAAGTGACGAATTCGTGGCCGACTGGTATGTACGCGCGGGTTTCAAGGTGTCGCCTACCCGTGAGATTCTTCCCGGGTTCGAATCCTGGTGGAACAAATGTTAGTGTGATGACGAGCATTTGTATCAAGTCATAGATGTTTATATGAATTTCCACATAAAATATACTTATATTGTGTATCAGTATATGTAATCTATCAGTTTTTCAGTGCTTGCTTTGGGGCTAGGGTACTTAGTGTGAATGTTGGAACTATTTCTTTTTTGCTTAGATTACGAAAAAAACCCTTAACGAATTCTATCCACAACATTTTAGTAATGGCTCGGATTGAATCGGAGAATCGGTACATAATCAAGGTGCCACACGGCGAGGCTTTGTACATTGCGAGTGAGGTGTCCAACCGCACCGTGAGATGTTTGTGCGGATCGGGGCGATCGTTCTCAATGCACTTACATGACAACACCAGGCAAGAAGCACTGCTACTGCAGAGAAGACTAGCGGGCGCCTCCTGCTGCTTCCCGTGCAGACTTCAGGTAGGCTAATGTACGCAATATGGTATGATTGAGAACTCACCATGAGATACCTGTTTAACTATAACTGTACCGTATGATGCTCCATGCTGTTCCGGGGGCTAGTTCTCTATGCACTTACATGACAGCACCAGCCTTGCAATACTTCTGCAGTGGCGATTTGCGGCGTGTCCTGGTGCTTCCTGTGCAAACTTTAGGTTACCTACATGACATGACGTATAGTATACTTACCGCGGGAATGCCTGGTATAGGTACCTATAATTGCACAGTGAAATCCTTCATTTAGTCTGAGGGCTCGATCTCAATGCACTTACATGACAACACCAGGCAAGAGGCACTGGTAATGCTGAGGAGATCAGTGGGCACCTCCTGCTGCTTCCCGTGCAGACTTCAGGTAGGCTTCATTTTGATGAGTGGCTATCATGAGATACCTGTGTTGTTGTGTATCTATAATCTATAACTGTACCGTGTGATGCTCAATGCGGTTCGGAGGGCTAGTTCTCGATGCACTTATTCCCCGACAATACCAGGTAAGAAGCGATGTTTCTGCAGAGAAGGCAGAAACATCAGTTAGGCTACATGACATGACGTATTTACTTGCCGTGGGGATGCCTGTATATACCATTCATTGTACCGTGAAAACCTTCATGCGGGGCTCGGGGCTCAATCTCAATGCACCTGCATGTCCCTGCTGCTTCCCATACAGTCTTCAGGTAGGCTACATGAATTGATTGTATAATGTACTCACCGTGAGACACCCCATGCAGTACAGGGGGCTACTCGTTCCACTTACAGAGCTACAGCAAGGGACACAACTGCTGGAAACACTTACTACAACGTCATCTAACTTGAGATAAAAAAGCACCACAACTAAAAAAAAGAAGTTTTTAGATTTATATAACAATAATTATAAAGTAATTTTTGCATGTTTCGTATTTTAATGATTTAAACAAAACCTGCCTGATATTAGTAGTAATGACATAATAGCTTTTTCGTAAAGAATAACATAATACACTGTGTGAACAGAAAATACAATGCATAAACAGTTAGAGAATGGCAGGTATCCTTCACATATCTGTAAGGCAAATAACAATTTACTATGATGTTATTTTGCCATGATTTTGCCTACTAAGACCATGGACGAAGGATCTCGATTTAGGAATAAATATTTCTCTTCGAAAAAATAATATTTTGTCTCTGTCACTCCTCATTTAACGATCTTAACATCCAGAGGAATAGCGTTATTTACCACCAGAGTTTCTTTTAAAAATAAGATTTCTATTTCAGGAAATGAAAGTGATAACTCCTCCAGGCGACTACGTAGGCCGCATCCAGCAGCAGTGGACGTGGATGGTGCCCTTCTTCCTGGTGCGGGAGGCGGGAGAAGAGGTCATCTTCGTCATCGAAGGACCGTCGGCTGTCAAGCGAAGCGCCCTATTGTTGTCGGAATTCAAGGTTAGTTAGTTAAGTTTCTTACGCCTATTTTTCTTATCAGCTAAAAGATCACCTGAATGGTTGATAGAAAAAAAATGTTTAGATGATTCAAAAGAGTTTTCAATAAGTAAAGAATAAAGAGCGTGAGTTTTACAGTCGATTGTTGGGATTGGCTATCATTGTGGGGCATAATGGTGGAGCACAAAACTCGTCTATTTGGACCTAACTAAAAGAAAAATGTGGTAGAACCATACCAGACCACTCAGAAAGATTTGCGAAATAAAGATTTTTATGTATAAGACACTGGCCACTTGTAATTATTTTGAAAACTTTGATTATTTAAAATTAAAAATACCAGTGTTCGATTTTCACTCCGCATTTTTTCGAGAGCTAATAAAAATTTTCTTGTCTCGTTAAAAAATGGATCTGCATCGACAATATTTTCGTGCTATGATATTTTACAATTTTAAATGAGGCTTGATGAGTCATTTGATCGATTTCGAACTGATTTTATGGATGAAAGACCTTCAACAGCAACCATCTACCGCTGGTGTAGCGAGTTCAAACGTGCTCGTCTTACTTTGGGGGATGAACAAAGGTGTGGTCGTCCTACAACGGTTGTCACCCAAGAAAGAGTGCTGGCAGTAAAAAAAAATATTCAAGGAAACAGACGTACGAAGAGATTCAGTATACTCTACAGATTGGTTAAGGAAGTGATCACAAGATTTTGCACGAGCACCTTTGCGTAAGGAGGATAGTTACCCACTGGGTGCCGCATAACCTCACCGAAGCTCAGAAGCAGGCCCGTGTGGATTGGTGCAGTGATATGATACAAAAAAATTATGCAGGCTCGTCACGGCGCATTTACGATATTGTGACAGGTGACGAATCCTGAATTTATCAATACGATCCAGAAACAAAGTGTCTGTCGACAGTTTGGCTGTTTCAAAATGAACCAACGCCTACGAAAGTGAAGCGATCTAGGAGCGCAGGGAAAATTTTGATCGCAACTTTCTTCACTTTGACGGGGTACTGTAACGTCCGTTACGTTACAGCCTCCTTGTTTGGGTAAACTCTTTGTTCATGCAATGCCTACGGCTGGCAGTTATATTAAAAAGTTAATGTCATGATTTTAATATTTGAAATAAGGAATCGTCTGTCTTTTGATAGAAGATTCCACATCATATGGACTTAGGGCACAAAACCTCTCGTAGATAGATAAAATTCACATATTATATTCGTACGATAAATAAAAGAGTTAAATATCTAATTAGTTTTGACGTGACAACGTCTTAAATTAGGTTGCGGCTGGGAGTCACTTATGAAAAAGTGTAACGCTCGGTAACGTTACGATGAGTTTAAGTTTACATGTACAATGTTTTAGTAAACAAAATATATTTCTATAGTTAAAATTTGTGCAATTCTTATTTTCATTCAATTCCTTGTTCCTATTGTGCAATTTAATTATATTCATATCAATAAATATTCTACCGAGAAAAAGACGTTGTCACGTAAAATCTTCGCCCGTAAAACCGACTTTACAGGCAACCATTTTTTTTGTATTTATTTATAACGTTACGCCCCCAGGTTCTATCCCTTCAGGGTAGAACTCCGCAGTACCTAATTTCAATTCCACTTCGAGACCAAAGCAGCATCAACGCCGAATGGTGTAGCACAAAATGCCTGCCAGAAGTTTTTTCTGCAATGAGCAACAAGCGACCTAACACCGGTCTCTGCGGGGTCCTTCTTCACCACGACAACGCGCCCGCGCACTCTGCGATCAAAACGAAAGACTTCCTGTACTCCACAGCAGTCTGATTTGGCTCCGTGTGACTTCTTTTTATTAGCTCAAATAAAAAATCTGCTCAAAGGGATACAGTTTTCGTCGCCGGAAGAAGTGCTAGCGGCGTTTCAGAAGGCCGTGGAAGAGGTGTCTGCGGAGGACTTGGAAAAAATGATTTGAAAATTGTTTCAGACGCATGAAACTTTGTATAGAGGCTGGTGGAGAGTTCTTTGAAAAGATATAATAAAAATATTTTTTTCATAGAAGTTAGTTTTTTAGTTTCTCAAAAATTTCTGAGTGTGATGTTTTATGATTTTATAACAAACACCAATTAAACACTTCGGAACAGTTTTGTGCTCAATGAGTTTCACTTGGTGCTGAGCTCAGAAATAAAAGGTACAAAGGCCAGGCAAAAGATATCCAATTTGACGTTTGTATAGTGGTACGCATGCTGTTCATAGCAACATATATTTGTTTCTTCTCTGGTCTATATGTAAAAATGAGATCACCATATGAGTCGACTTTATAAGTTTAATTTTAACTCTTTCTATGCTTTGGTTCTTGTTCTGTGGTGCTTAGAGACAAGCCACTGATTTCAGGCTATGTGTGGTTGGCGATTTGAATTTCTAGTTTTCGAGCTAGTATTTAAGCGATACATTAAGCTTCTTTGTATTGTCGTCTAAAGAAGTAAGAAGAGCAACTTAACAGCAAGTTAGCCTATAACGCCAGCTTATAGTCATACTTCATCAACTCATGTCTACTAGTAGGCTTTTCATCTCATTAACTCCTGATCAAGAAGAGCTATAAAGTTGATTTTTGTCCTCCAAAAAATTCCTTGATTATTTTATTTAATCAAGGATTTTTTTTTATGGATTTCCATATTATAGAAAATCTCCATACGCCGTTCCACCGGACAGTATTCCCTCGATCCACTTTAATCCAGTGCATAGATCTATTGATTGATCTTTTTGCACTCTTATGTCCACTTTAACAGTATTCGGGCACCAATGATAATACTGTTTGTCACAATAATATTTTATTCAATTAACGTGTTAGGTACCTACGTAAAATCTGTGAACACTTTTATTATTTTGATAGATTCTAACGAAGGACGCTCTGCGGGAAGTGGGCAAAATAGCCCACGGCTGGGATCGTGAAGTGAACAGCTTTACAACCACGTTAACCTTTCCTGACAGCGCGGCTCAACCAAAACACAAGGCTCTCCTGCTCGCTGCAGCTTTTCTACTGGTGAGATTTTAAGTATCTTACAGTTTATAATTTTATTTTTAAGCATATATATTTGCTTGATGTTTAAATCTAAATAAAATATAACTAGAAAAAAATCCAAACGGATCAGGCAGCAGACGGGACTCGAACGGGACCGCACCCTTCGCTATACCGCGGCCCTTATGGGCGCGTCGAAATTCCTCTAGCCATTCTTAAGCTGCAAGGCAGCGCCATCTCTTCGCATTGTAAGTAACCCACAATGTCAAATGAATACTTTTACAAGTATTAAACATTTGAAAGAAGAAATAGCAATTATAGTTATAATTTTATCTTACAGTTTTCAAATAAAGTTAATGAGCTTAAGTCGATAAACGGCCGGAGGTGACTACGATATCCCCAGCTCAGGGGATGATCGCTTCAGATGAAGCTTGTAAGGCCCTGCTGGCCATATGCATGTACTACGGGTGTGCTTTAGTCAGTTAAAGTCTGAAATAACCTTACAGCCGGCTAAAGAGTACCCATGAGGATTTCACACAAGCTCACCCGCCGGAAGGAAACAAAAAACAGTACGGTTAAGATATGATAAACGATAAAATTACCGTACTTACACAGTGGTCTAAGTGCAGCAAGCCTAGCGGTCCAAATCAATCTTGTACCATACAGATGTGTTACATTTTCCATTAACTCAAGACCGGGTTTAATTTTTTGATACCTTTGACCGTTTAACTGAAACCTTTAGGAAGGAAACTTTTACATAGCCACAATTTTTTTTTGTTCATCTTTAACATTATTAATTGTTATTATAAAATTCTGATCTTATCAACAAGCATCGATGGTTCAGTAGTAGAAAGCTCGTCTACCTCGCGGCCGGCCCGTGTTCGATTCCCAGCTGAGACATTTTTTATTTTCCACTTTTTATTAGCCAGAGTAACCCCAACTAATTGAGTGTAGGCTCGGCCTGCATTATCTCTGTCATGTCGAAATTGTTTTAGTTAATGTTAATTAAAACATTTTAATAGTTTCAAATGCAATTGCAAAGTGATTTCAGAAAACCACAATTTTTTTCTTTTATATATTTTTTTCTGTATATGAAACTATGTTAACAACGTTTTGTTCACTAAAGTTGAATTATTCTTTCTTCTTGTTTCAGGAATATACATACTTCGAGAGAGCAAAGACGACCTGCATGCGATGTAACTGTTTTTAATGCTGAATTCCGCAAAAATCTATTACGAAGTTACTAATGAATAAATAAGCTGTAAGAAAAACCAACCAATGATTTCTAATGGACTCATAGCAATTTTATACTGAAAAATAAGTTTACATTTTGTAATATAATTTGAAGAAATAATTGTAACCAATTAGTTTCATTTCATGAGTTTGTGGATGATATGTAAATAGATACTGACAGATTAAATACTTTAGTCTTTTGCGAGGAATCGGACTAATCTCTATGTACTTAAAACTATTTAGGTAAGTAACGTTAAATTAGTACAGGTGCTTATAACTTTCTGGGGTTGTCCCACTATGTAAGAACTTTATTTTCATTTCCATTTTTGAAGTGAAACTTCTTTATCGGCGTTGGAAAAAAATTTACCGTCACATTTTTATTCGGTAACGCGTCACGTTTTTTGGTTACAAGCCATCTTTTTTTTAAAAGAGCACTATTTACCTCATCCGAACAATTGCTTCTTCTGTCAACTTTAAAAAAAAAAGTATCGACAGCAAATAATACACACAAGGTAAGGTAAGGTAAGGTAAGGTAAGGTGTAGTTATACCCCTTTAGTGGGTGAGTTTTTGAAAAATCTTAGCGCACGCCTATATATATATTTCTGGAAAGTTGCATGTAGATCATTTTTCGAAAAAAATAAGGCCATAAAGAAGTTTCTCTTCTTACGTGTGTACACTTGTACACGCACACATTTTTTTTTTCAATAAAAAAGCACAATACATAATTTATATTACACCCAGACCTACAAGGATAGTTACATCTGCAAAACTGTGCAAAACAAACCTATAACGTTCTGTATGAAAGCAAAGCGACCGACAAGGCCTTGTTGCTCTACTACGAAAATGGTATGAAATAGGTATAAAATCTCAGTATGGAATACTCAGAATAAGATGAAATATTAAACTATAGATATCTTATTTCGATATCCTTTACTTTTTTTGGAACGAAGTTCCTTACGGCAGGCTTGGAGGGGATAGGGATTTTGCTGCGCGACCGAACTGAAAAAAATGTGATAGTAAAACCGTAAGAAAAGATCCGTGGAAAAAGTGCGTGGAATAAAACCGTTAAATGAGACGTGCGCAGGCGCGACAGTCGCATACACAAGCGAGTTTGCAATTTGTGTCGATTTTACATTAGCCGAAGGAACTTCGTTCCTACCTGGTGTCCCACGACACCACATCATTTTTTGCTTTAATCATGGGCTTTAACTTTAGATAGAGTCTGAGAGAATGGGATTTAGATTGGAGGGCGCTTTAGTGCTTTTCTACCGTATTTGTAAGGTTTTACCCATTTTAGACCAGGTCCGTGTTTTAGACATGATTAAATACAAAAAACCGCAAAAATTCACAACAACAAACAAATCCGTATCAATACAAAACTTTCACGTTTTACAGATTGCTGGGTTTGATTGCCAAATGAAAATATTTATGTAACATAATTCTCTTTCCGCACAGACTCTAATAATAATTATACACCCTATCTACTCTTTATTGCTTAGATTAATGTCTTTTGCCTGTCATTTCATAATCGTTTTTTCACCGAGCAAGTAATCTCTATATTACGTTGAGAGGGATATTTTTTTAAAAACATATTCATCATTTAAAGATGTGTTATTATAATTTTATTAAATATTTATTATAAAATAATGAGGATATGGAAAAACAGATATTTTCGTGTGAAGAAATCGCTACTAGAGCTGAAAAACATTGGACGTATGATGAATATTTTATCGGTGAAAAGGACGATGAAGGTAGGAGAAGTGGAAAAGGAGAGAACCACTGGTCAGGTGCTAAGGTGCGATAACCAATAGTAATTATCTTAATTGTCATTGATAAAATACTTAATATATTTTAATGAGGAAGCAAAATTTTTGTTATATTTTTTTAAGCATGTAACTCATCGACGTTTAAATCTAAAGAAAATATTACTAGAAAAAAATCCATTCTCCTTTATGCCATTACACTTTACACCGCAGGCGAGGACTCAGTTAAGCGGTCTACCTATAGTAGCAAATCAAATCAAATCGATTATTTACAAGAAACATGGTAAAATACATAAAAGTAACGGTTACGAAGTATCATAATGTTTTATTATGGTCACTGCTACGATTGCGGAATTCTTTGTATCTTGAATCCACTTTCCTATTGTAAGAAAGGCTAGAAAGAATTCGACACACGTAAATTGATACAATAAGAAAGTGGAATCAAGATACAATGATTTCCACAATCGTAGTAGTGACCATAATCAAACATTATTATACTTCGTAACCGTTACTTTTATGTATTTTACCATGTTTCTTGTAAATAATCGATTTGATTTGCTACAATAGGTAGACAGACCGCTTAACTGAGTCTTCGCTTGCGGTGTAAAGGGTGTGGGGGAGGAAGACAACGGGGGCCGTAAAAGGTGCGGGCGGCAGGCACGTTGCTGTCAAAATTACAAGTGCCCGCCTCCCCTGTTGTCGTCCTCCCCCGCAGGCGAGGTCTCAGTTCTCAGTCAAGCGGCTTACCTAAAAGAGACTTTAAAAGTTCAGCTACTTTAGCAATCCCTTTTCATACTGTGTAACAAAAGTAATATGGTTCTAGTCACTGGAGTGGTACAACGGCATCCTTTTCCGTGACACCATGCATGGTGTAGGAGAGTATCGCTGGCGGTACTTGGCTCGTGAGGGTACTCACTTTACATACGAAGGCCGCTTCTATTGCAACCGCATGCATGGATACGGGACCATGTCCTACCCCGACGGGAAAGTGTTCACTGTGAGAGATTCTTCATTCTTTTAGAAGTTAAATGTTTGAATACCGTTTATTTATACCAATAGCATTCAGAGGTAAAGTTTGAACTTTGCAGTAAGTAATCTTTGGGACTACTGAATCGACTTAGAAAAGTATTTCACACAAACTACTTTATTTTATTTATTTACTCTTTATTGTTTTGCAACAAATGGCAGACTTAATGCCACATGGCATTCTCTACCAGTCAACCATCATTTTGTAATGATATGGGCTATAAAATACGGTATTTCTGTGAGTCGTCATTTTTGCGTCTAGTAAACTACCCCCCTAGCATGTACACTGCGATATGATATATAACGCGTTTTTATTACGGTCAATTGTCAAATTACTATGGAGTCTGACAGTTAGACGCGATAAAAAACGTGAAACATTATAGTGCTCATGCTACAGGGACTGGTACCTATACCTCTCGCAACGGCTGGTTATGTCTGGCGTGAGGAATTTTTATTAAAGTCTACCTAAAGGGCCGTTCAGTAAACATTTCTTTTATACCTCGTTATGGGCCAATATCTACATATGCATTTTTAACCGACTTCAAAAAGGATGATGTTTTCCATTCGGTCAGTAAGTATGTTTTTTTTTTCTTCTTATGTATATGTTTTTCTTTTTCTTATGTTCCGATCCTATTAACGTGATTATTTTTTTGTTTGATGTGAAATGATTGCTATTTGGTTCTATAAAAATTTAATCCAGTTTGGTCCAGTAGTTTTTATTTTAATAAGTTGGGGAAAAAGTCTTTTCGTATTACACTAATGTATGAACTTGTAATAAAATCTCTTTGGCTTATACCATTTGTATCTGGGTGGTTTTGGTATCATTAAAAAGTTTAAATGTAAAAAAGTTAATTCCAAATTCAAATAATAAAATTGTGTGATTTTCATTTGTTTTTCTTACTGTCAAGATGTGAATGTGTGTAAAATGTGAAAGTGTGATGAATGAATCTAATGACGAAATTCGATACATTTTAAAATTTTACTACAATAAACAATGACATTACGTATACAATACAGGTGGATATGTCACTAGTATAATAAGCTACTATAAAGTATACGAAGTGAAAAGGCGATATTTAAGTTAAGAGAAGCATACCAGAATCGACACCACTGTAAATGACGAAAAATTTAACGAATAGGCCGGCTCTTGCCGTTATTAATATTTTGCAAAAAAGGGCAAAAAGTCACGTTTTTTCTATGGGTTCACTCCTTAAATATTTATTCAGTTCGTAAGATACAACCTGGTGACAGACAGACGGCTATTGGAGTCTTAGTAATAGAGTCCCATTTTTACCTTTTGTGTACGCAACTCTAAAAATGATTTCCAACGCAGATAATGCCAGATCTAGCATAACTGTAAAGGTATCTTTAATAATAATATTTATTCGCTATCTCAAAATACAACCAGTTATTAAAGTTTGGCGTTTTTCTAGGGTTTGTTCCACAGTAACGTCCGTTGGGGCCCTGGAATCGAGTCGCAAGCTTGTCACAAACAAAACGTGGGTCTCTGGCGAAGTTCCCAGCTCGTGAGGCTGACGTGGCGACCGCAAACACCCAGTATCACGCCAGACTTCTGCGCCAACCCCGTCGGGCGAGCCAGAGTCCAAACACATCGTATAGTTCTTTCTTCGACCCAGAAATCTGTTAGTCTGTTTGCTATGTCATGACCATAAATTTTAAATTAATCTTTTATGGGAAAATTTTGCTTCAGCCACTTGTACTGTTGTAAAATGTTCACCCATAGAACTCCTAAATGAATTTACGTTACTTCTGATAAAGACAACAAATAGCTCAAAAGATTTGCTTTTTTGTAAAACTTAGCAGATAACTGCAGAAATTAACCAACATTCTTGTACAGATAGGCAAAACCAACAGCGCAATAGATCTATTGAAGCAGTGTGGTTCTGATCCAATGACAGCTACAGAGAAATGGGTGAAATTGTATCCAAAAAAGTGCACCGATTTAGCCAGTCTGCTATGCCACACGGATGTTTTTGAACGCGAATATTATAACGGAAAAGTTACATTGCTTGAGGAAGTAAATGAGCTGTCGGAGTTTGTGAAGGTAGGCAGGTAATTTATTACCATTTCCATAACAAAATCGCCTCTAATGAAAATACATTCGTTTATAGGTTCTTGTTTGGGAAAAAAGGTCGAGAAAAATATAGCAACAAAGCAAATAGTAGATCTGATTCTGGCACGATACCCTAAACTTACAAAATTTTAATTAACAACAATTCACTTGTACAAGTAAGAACATGATAAGGATATAGGATAGATACATACTATTGTCAAATTTAGTTTAGATTAAGAAAATTATGCTAGAATTAAGCCCAATATAATTTAAATTGCACCTGGGGTAATGAATTATTCATTGCTTCGAGTTATGGGAACTCCCAAGACATTAATGAACCTACCTAAAGAATGAGAAGAATCTCAATTCGTCAGTTTTTATATTATTCTTGTTTGCACTTAACTCCGATCAGTGAACCGATTGATATAGTTTTTTGCTTGAATGTTTTTTTTTCAGAAGAAAGAAAGGAGATGTTCCTTTTTTTGTAATTGCCGCAATCAAAAAAATCTTATAAAATAAACAACTTCACTTATCTCATTTTAGACTTTTCAAGTAGAAGTTATATGATTTTCAAAAAAATAGCAGTTCCTTCCTACCTTGCGAATAGTTGTTTTATGTTTGTAGATGTCGTTATATTATTGTCATTTAAAGCATGCTAATAACATATCGTATAGGACACGAGCGAGGATAGTTCACAGATCGACACTGTGCCAAGTTATTATTATGCTTGGAACAACAATAAGATGTTAGTGCACATGATGAAGCACAGCTTTACGCATGACGAGCAGAGGAATGCAACAGAAATCAATCTTACGAACCTATTATCTGGACCGAGGCAGCAATTTAAACAGTCCGGAAAGCACGAGCTTGACTGTAGGTGGGTAGTAAAATTTTGCACATTAACTTTATGACTTGTTGTTTTTGATTCTTCTAGAGCGTTTAGAACATTCACTGAATGTAAACAAGGAGACAATCCGATTTACCGACCTAGAAAAGTGTTGAACCTCGAGAACAAATATACATTTAAATTGTAGTTATGATAATAGGGAATATGCATGTTATTTAAATTAACCACATTACTTTCATTTTTAAGTTGTCCCTCCGTCAAAATTTGTTTATAAAATTTCCTTTCGAGCACAAAATTTATCATATAAAAGTGCGAAAAACTTGTGGGAAATACAAACTATTTGAAAACCTTACGAGAACGGTTATGACGTAAAAATATATTCCTAACAACAAACAAACGTGATGTTCACAGGAAAAGCCAATGTCAACGAGATTATAGTACGAGTGCGTAGATGTCAAAGCCGCGTTCCACCTATATAGACACCGAGTGCAACTTTTCATGATGACATTTAATATTTTACCAAAAAAATATGAATCATAATATCTATTTCATTGACGTAGGTTCTAACTTCTGTCCTGTATAATGTGTATTCAAAATATTTAAAAAAATCATGTATATTTCCTATTCCTAAACAAAGTTAAACCTTTCCAAGGTCGAGATTTTAAAGTTGCAAATAAAAATATGACATACATATTTTCTTCACTCCTTCCTTTTCTTTCCAGAACTTTACTGATGGCATGCTATTTGGGGCATATGCAATATGTCATACAATTGATAAACGAACAAGGCGTTCATCCCGACATTGCTGATTCCCAGGGCAACACCGCTATTATGTATGCAGCTGTAAGATGATTATTTCTAAAGGTTACGTTAATCTAAAATATGAAACAAAAGTTAGTAAATCTGGTAACCTTTTCCAATATTCAGTTAGATACTCGTAAATCTCTGTTGAAATATTATTTTAAATTAAACAATAGAAAAAGAGTATGATTTAACAGAAAAACAGCTGATGGGAATATTCATACTCACACACATCTCCTTTTTGATAAATTGAATTGATCAACAAAGGTAACTCAAAGAAAAAAATCGATAGCGCGTTGGGTCTGCGTTTTTGAAAATTATGCTGCGTCTTCATTAGGCAACATTTGTTTATAAACAGTGTTTCTCAATGTTGCATCAACTCTGTATACGATTAAGAAAAAGTTTATAAACAAAAACAGTAGTACAACTCTTGCATGCGTAAACCTTGTTAAAGGTATTACACAGAGCCTTGAATCGAGAATGAATACTCTTGCAATATATCTTGACATGAGCAAAGCATTCGATTTCGTATCGCATAGACTCCTCTTGAATAAATTAGGAAGATATGGTATAAGAGGTAATGCTTTGGACTGGTTGAAAAGCTACCTTGAAAATCGTTTACAATGTGTAGAAATATCTAACATAAAAGGTAAAGATAGGAAATCTGTTACATCAAAATATAGACAAAATGTATCCGGTGTGCCACAAGGGAGCGTTCTGGGACCTCTACTTTTTCTGCTTTATATTAACGACTTGCCAAATGTTACCGACCAAAAATGTATTTTATTCGCCGATGATATTACCCTAATTATAAGTGATAAAGGCGGAAAAATATAACATAAAGCAAATATAGAATTACAGAAAATAGCACAGTGGTTGAAAAAAAATAACCTTATTATAAATGTAAATAAAACAAAATTTATTCATTTTAAAACAATAAATAGCAAAAATGATAAAATTAATATAAGTGTGAATAACCAACCTATAGAAGAAGTATATGACACAAAATTTTTAGGAATAACCTTAGACAAATTCTGTCACTGGAAGGCTCATATTGACACTGTAACAAATAAGCTTGATAGATTTATATATGCTCTAAATAGGATAAGAGAGATAGCATCGCAACAATCGGCACTAATAGCTTACCATGGTTATGTTTCATCTGTGTTGCGTTATAGTATAATACTCTGGGGAAATTCAGTAGATGCAATTGAAGCCTTTAAAATTCAAAAAAAATGTATACGGTCACTTTGTGGTGCAGGTTATTTGGACTCATGTAAGCCCTTATTGCTTGGAATACTGCCAGTTCCATGTTTATATATTCTTGAAATGGCAGTGTTTGTTAAAAAGTATTTTCACTTATATAAGCAAAAAAAAAGATGTTGAATATAGAGGTAGGAAAGGGCGTTCCCTTTCCTACCTCTATATTCAACTTATGTGTTCCAATCCAAAGACTAATGATATTTTCCAAAAATGCATATTGTATGTCCATTCGTATATTTAATAAGTTACCCTCAAATATAAAAAAAACTGAATTTAACCAAATTTAGGACTGAAATGATTTTTTAAATGATAAAATACCCTAATATGTATTTGGTTGACATTCGTGTGTATTTAATTTAATAGTATAAATTATGTAAATGATAAATATATGTAATTTTCTGACATTTTAATTCAATATCGATGCAATTTTTCCTGGCTTTTTTAATTATGAATAGATTATAAATACTTTTTTTTGTGACATTGCGTATAATTATTATCTTTAAATTAATTTTATTTATTTTGACGTCACTGAACCTCATTAAGTTAATTGTCTTTTATATTATGTAATATTTGCACGTTGACATTCAACAAAATATGCTGGAAACTAAAGAGCTAACAACTATTGTAACCATATTTTGGCAAATAAATGATTATTATTATTATTTATTATTAATGGTAAATAAAATTTTGCTGTTCTCCACTGTGACTGGAGAGCAAGACGAAACATTTAGAATATAAACAAAAATTTACAGGTGTGTAAGTGTGTTGCCTCAAATAAAGATTATAAGGATAAAATAAAAAATAAATATGCTTGGGCCGAAATTGCTTCAGAACTAAACATGTCGCAAAAGGATATAGAGACAAAGATGTATACTCTGCGCTCACAATTTTCTAGGGATAAGAAAAATCATAAAGTCATCGGAAACCAGGGAAGGAAGTTATTAAATGTAACATTAATGTTCATCATAATAACAATACATAACTTCTATTTAGGAGCTTGTTTCGAGCCTACCACCTTTTAATTTTCTTTTCTAGTTCTCTATGTTACTACCTACATAGTAAACGTAAGCACAGAGCAACACTATCTCCTCGAGCGACATCCTAGCAACAACTGACAAATGTGGACGGCCAAGTTTCAGAAACAGTGTTTACGGTAAACTTGGTTATAAACAAGATGATGAACTTCATAAACAGTTTATTAACAAATGCTGCCTAATGATAACGCGGCATAAACAACTTCCGCAACGACCATTTCATACGATGAACGATAACAAATTATAAAGACTACTACTAACTTAAAATTATAAAGACTACTAGATAGAAGAGACGCGAAACTTATTGGCACTAACTTTAGTGACGTCCGATCTCTTATTATGGGTAGTCACACTAGTTGCACTACTACCAACGTTGCCAGACGTCCCGATTTTTAAATCAAAATTTAATGTCCCGCGCGGGACAAGGCTCAATCCCGCTTTTCGGGAATAACTCGACCGTGCGTGCAACGAACTGAGAAAGCGCGGGCGGGTGGCACAGACAAGTGTGGACTGGCCGCCTGCCTGGCGGGGAATGAAATAAACATACAATAACTTTTGGTTATATACTTTTTTTTACTTTTTCGCTCTTTCGACGAAAAAATCCCGCTTTTTTCACTCAAAAAGTTCCTTAATCCTGACTTGGTAAAAAGAAAAGCTGACAACGCTGAATGCTCCCTGTCCTTTCCATATAGGGAAGGCCTTTGCCCTAGCTGCTGACTAGTATCAAAAGATTTGTTCATCTCTAAATATGAATCCAGTATTTATTTGTTAAGAAAAATCATTAATAACGGTTTTCAAAAGTCGATTTTATAAGGAGTGAAGATTATATTACATTGAACCACAAAAGAAAAAAGGAAATTAATGTCCCTCCTTCACCACCCACCACAGTGCGGCTACCGGCCTGAAATAATACATTTCTTGGTAGAGGCCGGTGCCAATGTAGATGGCTACAACGACGCATGCTGCACACCTCTTGGCATAGCACTGTGCCATTATGCTTGTCTACAGAACAATATACCGCCTAGTGGTATGCTCCAAGCATTACTACCGCCGCCTACTGTTGCCGCTCCACGTATGTAAAACATGCAATATTTTCTTTTAGGAAAAAATATACATTTCATAATACTAAAAAAAAACTGTTAACCATATTTTCGTTTAGTATGTTTTGATAATCGCTAAAGAGAATATTAACCTTTTATATAAATTATTTTTTTATATAATTTTTTTTATACATATATATTTTTATATTTTGTATATTTTATTTATTTTTATATATATATATATATATTATACTTTTATATAATTACCTTTTATATGACGCGGGTTCCTTCTTCTTGATACATCTAATAATATCATCACAAATAGTTTTATTATTTACTAGCGACCCGACCCAGCTTCGCACGGGAATGATCGTATATACATATAAAACTCCTCTTGAATCACTCTCTATTTCTGAAAACTACATTAAAATCCGTTGCCTAGTTTTAAAGACCTTTACGTACAGACAGCAGGAGTGACTTTGTTATATACAATGTAAAGATTAAAAAAATCTTCAAGAATATATTTATCGTCATTGTTATATAATTCATCATTTATTTATAGGTGCTGCTGAAAAGGAGAATGTTTTTGATTGGCACATTGAACGTAGTCTAGCAACAAATGTTCCTAATTCGACAATTAAATCGCCAAGTAAATTATCAAAAGCACCTGACAAAAGGGTTAAATCCGAAGTTTCAGCAAAAGATATACTTAATATGAAAAAGAAAACTGATGCAAATGAAATGAAATTTTCACCTCGCGAAAGTGGTTCTGATGAATCATTTTCTGATGACAAACGACTTTATCATAATCTGAATAAAGAATTCTCCATACGAATTAATGACCTTCATACTTGTCCAACAACTACTAATATGATTCCGTATATTTTTGAAGTTTGTGATATGGTTAAGGATATAGATGTTGCTGATGAAGAACCGAAGAAGATTGCGGACAAAGGTACTAAAAAGGTACCATCTAAACTGATCAAAGATACTTTTAAGCCGAGTAAGGAAATGGTGTGGCAAAGTAATGATAAAGATGACACTTCAGTAGACAGTGTCGAAAAAGAAAAAGAGGAGAGGTGGGTTTTTTCTCAATGAAATTTTATTATGGTCTAGGAAAATAAATCTTTTTAATAAAGCTATAAAGATAAGATAAAAATTATTTGCTAAGATCAATAATGGTAGATTGTTAATTTCGCTTGATGCAGTTTATCGCGTATAATGTTAACCATTCTGCAACTTTTAACGGACGGAGCAAATCCGAAATTGGTGAGATGTCCACAAACTGCTCTCTTCACAGCAATAATATCAGAATGTCCAAATCTTATTGAAAATTTGACGAAATATGGAGCAGATATCAACGAGGTATATCCAATGGTAAATATTACAACCGTTTTAATATAACAATAGAGTAACGATGAATTCTTAAAACTGTGATTTAACTCCAATGATGTAACCAATATCTTTAACGTTTTTTTTACTTATATTTCTTTAGACTTACGGATACACCCCATTGGACTTAGCTGTATCTCGTCGGCTCTCATTTGATAATCTAGAAGTGATAAAAGTCATTCTCAAATGTGGAGGGCTTCCTAATCATAAATTGAAGCACGAAGAAGCAATTTCATTCGATTCTGCATCGCCAAAATTGCATGGCCCAACATTGTTACACGTCGTATTAGGTAAAAAACCTGAAAATGATATGGAAGTGGAGGTAAGTTTTTTCTCCATTTCGAAATGTTCTCTCTATAATAACTTACACAATACATAATTGATTTTTTTTTTTTTAGGTTCAGCTTCATTTGTTAGACTTATTATTGGATTACGGCTGTGATCCTACGGTACAGTTCAAAGGTCGATCAGCACTAGACGTTGCAATAACAAAAAACATATATTTACTAGATGTTTTCATGGAAAATCGGAATACGAATCTTAATGCTATTATCAATGATGCAAATGAAACCTTACTTACAAAGTTCTTTTCCATCTCATTCTTTAAAAGTATTCCATCTGCAGACAGGTTTCAAACTGTATGTTGTTATTGTTACCTAGTCACTTCTTTTAAATGTAACTTTAATATTACTGAATATTTGTTATATTTGATATTGCACACAGCTCACCAATTTGCTTTTATATGGAGCTGACCCTTTATTAGAATGTAGAAAGGACGGAGAGAGATTGGCTAATTTATTCGTGTTCACAAAAAAAACACTTATTGAAGTGGAAAATATGTCTTCAAAGCCAACTACGACGAACAGCCCCAGTAAGTAATTATTTTGGAAAATTTCGCAACAATAAACCTACGTTCTTAATATACCTCCTGAAAATTTTGTATTGAATATTACAGGCAAAGCTGATCCTAGAAAATTAAAAGAAGACTCAAAAAAACCTAAAAAAGAACAAATTTTTACGAAATCTATGGGAAAAATAGTTACTGATGATGCGGGAGATTACAAGCAGGCCATTGATTTAGTAGTTGAATGCGCTCGTCTACTGCACGTACGGTGGTTACAAGCAAAATTGACGAAAGAACTTGTAGATATTATTGACAAGTAGGAAAAACTGACTTATACTTAAAAAAATCTATGAAACAAATCTACTACAATTAAAGTTTAAAGTTTTAACAATAAAAATAAATCTCTGATTGAATTTATTTTCTATTGTATACTATCCACAGGTATAAACACCGTCAATGGAACATGATTATAAAAGAGCATAATCACAAGAAATGCGTAAGATTATGGCTTACTGTACAACGATGCTTAGAAATATGGGACATTATGAAAGAAACCAAGAAGAATATTTATAATGACGCTCGTATACTGAAGTATTTACTCTGCATTGTGATGTGGTACAGTAGTAAAAAGAAGATACTTGCCTCAACCAAGCTAACGGCTGAAGAAAAGTATTCAATCGAAGTTAACGTGTGCCGTTTGCTTACGGAGCGTAGAATATCCTCCAAACTGACTAAAGATGTAATAAAGTGGAATAGACCGTACGTACGACCGGAGCTAACACCTAAACGGGTAAGTGAACTGGAAAAATAGGGATATGTACCTATATAAAGCTTAAACAGACGTAAAAACAATGCTGAGTTTCCCAGTAACTTTATTTAGGTACGCAAATCTGACTTCACTTCTTAATTTTATTGTAGCTTACTAATAAAATGATTAAGTCTTACGTCTTTTAGACTGCAGTCAAACACTATTAATTGAAAATAAAAAAAAAACAGCAAACATACCAATGGGTGTATGCTATGATGATACGTCATTGGGTATATACAATTATTATATAAATTTTATATATTTTTAATAAGTTAGTTTTTATTTAAACGCTATAAAATTAAGCAGTAGGATTCCTTTTTCTCCATCCAAAAAGCAACTTTCACAATAATTACGTAAATATTTTTCAGGAAGAAGGAAAACTTGAGATATGTTTCGAATGCGCATTACCTTTCGATGAAGAAAAAATTGAATGCGTATCCTGTAAAGTAGTTTCGTTCTGTTCTATGGAATGCATGAGGGCAAATATAGATCGAGCCAATTGCCATCCTTGTAGCGAATTTTTGAAAAGCAGATATTTTCCTACCCCATCCGAAAGTGACAATCAAGTTTTTGGCAACGATTACACATTTTCTAAATATTTTGGTAGTTTTATTTTAAATAGTAACCACCATAGGTGGAGCTCGATTATGCAAGTGATTAACGCGTTAGGGTAACTTTCGAAATGGGAATGGATGATAGGAAGTATATAGTTATTTTTCTTACCACGCGTGCTCGTTAATCAAAACAAGAAAAAACCGGCCAAGTGCGTGTCGTGCCACGTGCAGTGTAGGCCTTCGTAATTGCTCGTCGTCACCACAAAATATTTTGAAAACAGTATATAAAGCAATTACTTCGTCTATATCACTTATAATGTTTTCTTCTAAAGATTTTTGGGTTAGGGTGGAGCCAAACGAAGGTCCGGGTCATGGACCCCTTGCCCGTGCGCTGCTTCCGGTGCATGGGTAGAGGACACTGCGGCTCGACATGTCCGGAGGAGACGGACAGAAGGAGTTTATGCTTCCGCTGCCCAGGGAGAGAACACAAGGTGGTGGACTTCCCTGCCGTCAAAGCTCACTGCGAGCTACGCGCCCGGGCTGGACGTCCGGCAGAGCATAGAATGAGAGGAAGGGTATGTGACCCTCTTGTCGTTAGGGGAAAGACCTCTGGAGGCGGGGCGCAAGTCTTCGGGGGCGAGTCCCCTGGAGGCGGGCGCCTTACCGCCGGGGGCGAGCCCCCTGATGACAGTAGAGGGGTCGCAGAGTCCTTGGCGTCGGAGCTGTCAGACCTCGGCGGGGAGATGTCCGAGTGACCAATAGGTTGCTCGATGTCTCTACCGCCACCCCAGGTTGCCTGCGATTCTTGGCTTGGCTTGCTGCTACCGTTTCCCTCTCCCAGGAGAGGGAAACGGTAGCAGCAGGGGCCCCGGCCCGGAGGGGTGAAACTGCTACGAAGTCGATGGCAAGGGGAGAGGGATTAGGAGAACTGAACACCAGCGATCTGGTGTGGGAGCCCCAGGCCGCATTGCACGGCTCCTGTGATGAGCGGGTGCCCTTTTTACTCCGAGGAACCGCACGTCGCGTAGGGTCCGGAAACGGACAATCACCAGCGAGCGCGTGGCCAACTCCCTTGGGGCGTACCATGCAATGCCTAATAGTAGGGCTACTGACACATAATATGTCACGGACCGCGGTCCTCGGGATATATGTCAGCGGACAGGTGCAGGAGTATTGTCTGGTTTTTACCGTTAGGTAGGGCCCTACTGATTTCATCGAGTTACCATGCTGGATGAAATGAGTGGGGAGGAGTCCCGGATAACTCTGCTTTGTTTCTCCCGTGGGCGGAGTATGCGTAAAGCATTTTCCAGACAAGAAAAAAAAAGCATGCATTTATTGAGGAAGGCTTAAAGCACATAACATCACAATCATTTATATAACATCACGTGCGACCAGTAGGTGCGGATCATCGATGTAAAATGTTGTAAAAACGGGTAAAAATATTCAATTTGTGAGTTTTTCCTCAAATTAAAGCGGGTGAAACCGCAGAGGTCCTTTAGTGTCGCCACACGGGCCTCACGCCACAACCACAAACGCCGCCACGAGAAGCTAGAAGCAGCTACTAAAGTGGCTGAAGCGTGCGACAGCGGCCGACTTAGGTAAGGGAGAGAGGGGTGGGGAATCGCGCGAGTCACGTGTGGCGGCGTTTTGTATTGGCGCATTAAGTGGCCGGTGCGGGCCACAAGAAGCGAGCAACGACGATTTGTAGCGTGTGGCGGCCACCGGCGTATCGTGTGTGGCGAGTCCATATAAAATGTATAAAACTACAAGAAATATGCCGGAGGCGGCGTTCTGTGGTTGTGATCGGTGGCCCGTGTGCGGCGACACTTAGTTGTGATATAATTGTAATAGTTAGACATATGGTATCGCGGATTTTTTTGCAGATAATGGTGTCGATTCTAGCATGATTCTCTAAAGCTAAACTTAAATTTAACAACAGTGTATTGTAATGTTAAATTTAGTTTAAAGTTTAGAGAATCGTTTCAGAATCGACGTCAATAATGTTCTCTATGAAACTTTAGCACATCACTTTGCTTTACTGTCAATGACTTCCGCGTAAGCGATATTAGGCTTATTTTTGGTATTTTTTTCACACCCTAGGTTACGTTATCGAAGTTTTCACACGGAACCGTAACTTTTTTGAAAATACTCTATAGTCTATGTTCATGAGGGATAATGGAGGATTCAATTCAAATCGGTCCAGTAGTTTCGCAGCCTATTCAATACAAACAAACAATCAAATCTTTCGTCTTTATAATATTAGTATAGAAGAATAGATAGTCGTTTATCCGAATTTCATTGGCACTCATATTCGGGCTAACGAACAAGTGTAATCACGCCACAATAATGATTGTCTGAATGACTCTAAGCGGATATTATTTTAAAATCTGGTGTGATATTGTTAAATAAATGTGGTGTTGGTGTTAAGACCATACAACCATTAACATTACAAACAACCATCCGCGCCATTGAAGAATTAGTTAGTGGAATCTTTGAATTAAACATAGTTTTGAGCAAATGGACGTGTGAAATTTTGGTTGTGCGGAACTAACTTCACAAAAACTTAACTAGAAATCTGACTCAGTTCATTACGTCCCATACAAGAAACATTAGAATGGTTTAAAAATTACAAAAGATTAAACTACATATACTTAATATCCTTTACCTTCTCATAAAGATGAAAAAAAGTTAGACGTTGACAGAAAGTCGGAAATACATTTGTCTATCGTGTTGTGTCATGACGCGTCAGGTTTTACAGTTTTAGTACGCTTACCCCCTAATTTGAAACGTGGAGTAAGCTACAACTAGTTACACCGCGTTTTGTTTATATCAATTAAATGCCAATAGGCTAGTTTACTCATGTCGAATTGTATTAAATAAATGTTTATTTCTTAAAGTATTTGGTCGAAGGAACCTAAATATATCGATTTCACTTCATAAAAGCAGAAGATTGCTGTAGAAATTTAATTTTAAAAAATATTTTTTAGTCTATATTTTTTAAACACTAAAAACGCTGTTCACCACATTCGCCATGATTTTGACGTCTCTTTTGGTAAACAACTAAATGTCATTCGCGTGTTACTTTAGGTGGATTCTTTCGTCTGACTAAATTTATCTTAAAACACTTTTAACTTTAGGCAAGAAAAAAACAGTAAACTTAGTTTTTTTTTGACAAAACTAATTATGGTTGCCGGCTTTGTGAAAGCAGAAAGCACAAATCTGCCAAGAATTGACGCATTGATGGTTGGTGAATTTGTTGCACTAAACCCCGATTTCTGCTCTGCGGAGCAGAGTAACGACAAAGCATCTATGTAAGTACAGTGCATTAAGTATTACAATGTAGTAATAAACATAAAACTGATACAACATATGAATAAGTGTAATAAAGTTGCGTAGGTTAATTTCTTTCGGCACTTTAATCCACAACTTTCCTGGAGTCTTCAAGGATGTGTTTTTATATTCTCGTACAATACAGTAATGATAATTACTTTATTTTTCGTGGTATTTATTAGAAGTCATGTTTTTTTTGTATTATAAACTCAGTTTTAAGTAATTTTCTACGTGTTTACGAGTTTTTGTTTACCACAGTTCACGTCATAGCATAGATAATCTATAGACTAAAATGGCCGACAGCGTTTTTGTATGTCCATGAAAAGTCTATTTTAAAATTAAAGATTTGTAGCTTTCTAGGTTTAAAAAAAATACATTACATTTTTTTTCGGTATAATAGAACATTTATTAACCATTTAAAACCTTTTTCCAAAAAGGGTCAACTAGCCTATTGTAACTCATAGAATAGAAATAAAACATGGAGTAACAAATCCAAGTTTAATCTTCGTTTATTAATGGTTAGAGTGGTACGGTGTCGACATCGCAACACACTAATATAATTCTTCTTACCTTATTAAATGTATGAAACCAATACCTCTCTGACACGTCACGACACGACATAAATAGACTGACAAATATATTTCCAGCTTAATAATGGCAGTAACTGACAGTGACAGACAATAACCTTTGACAAGACAAGTATTTTGGACATGTTTTGTTTGTCTTTGTTGTATTATAAATAAATTGGCGGGATTGTTTTTAGTAAATTCTGTAAATTGATGAGATTGATCCCTATCAACTTTCTTGCATCATATTCCAGAATGGCTTCGGCAGCAAAAAAGCCAAACCTTTCCATTTCGTCCTCCTCGGCTAAAGAAGAAACTACAGATCTCACTAGTTTTATGCAGAAAATTCAAAAGAAACGCGAGGAAACCGCTGAATCGATTCTTCAGTACAAATTCAATAAGAAACGTCTTCGAATAGTTTCACAGGAACAGATGGTCGCCGATAAATGTGAAGGAATAGTGTATTGGATGTCCCGAGATAGTAGAGTACAAGACAATTGGGCGTTGCTGTTTGCTCAGAAACTTGCTCTGAAAAATGAAGTTCCACTTCACGTTTGCTTTTGCCTGATAGCTAAATATTTGGACGCATCAGTGAGGCAATTTCATTTTCTTATAAAAGGTATATTTAATGTATAATTTTTGGTCAAGTTATTATAATGGTATAAAATCTGTTCTAAGGTAAAGGACATATATCGTTAGAAAGCTTGTTTTATAATATAACATGCACAGATACTTTTAAAAATGTAAGTTTTTTCCGAAATCATTTACAATTAAGTGCCCTATGTATCACAAAAAATGGAGTCTGCTGAAGACCATCCTCCATACAAATTTGAACCCTCGCCTTTATAAACGGTTTTTCATGTCTATTTGGCACTGATTCAATTTTCAACCTACTATCTTTGGGTATTTGTATGAAAATGCATTTTAATTATTTTTATATGCCCATTCGATTATTGAGATAATATTACCTATCTTATTAATTGATAAACACTTATTATTAAAACAGTCCTTTCATAGCTAACCAAGTTATTTTTTTAACGTGTTTTACAATCTTATTCCAATATCATCTTGTGATAAAAGCGTTTTTAAACAAGATTTAACACTTAATATAATAAATATGTTCTTGCAGGTTTGGAGAAGGTAGCAGCAGATTGCAAAAAACTTAATATATCTTTCCACCTACTAGAAGGCAGTGGTGCTGAAGCTTTACCTCAGTGGGTGGTGGATCATAAGATTGGAGCAGTGGTCTGTGATTTCAACCCTCTCAGAGTACCCCTAGGATGGCTGGAAGATTGCAAGAAGAAGCTCAAAAAAGATGTTCCTTTGATTCAGGTTAATTGTATTAATAGTTTTTATATAAAGCTTTTAATTCAGTAATGTTTGTGTAAAGAGTGTGATAGCTGCATTATTTATTGATATTCAGCATTGTCATATTAAAAAGATAAAAAAAGATTTTTGAGTGGGAGAAACAAATATAATTAAAAACTAACTCAGGCACCAGACCCCCAATGGACTTGCCAGAAGGGCCATGGCCGGAATTAGAGGTCCAGAGGCCTCGGGGCAACAGAGGAGCGGAGGCCCCCTCACCCCAAATTATTTTCCTAATAAAGTAAACATTTTTTTTTCAGTCGAGTTTTTCAATAAATAATTTATTTTGAACCAAGTAGATTCCCTTAGTATTGAACAAACACATATAAATATAAATGGAAACAAGAATTATCTGAAATTAAATCTTAGAGTTAACGAACGGAACTGTAAACGAAAGAAATAAAACGGAAAAATAATATAAATAAAAACCAGCTCTGCAGTGACATGAATTGATAGAATGACATTTATTTTCTTTTTAAAAATATATTAACATCAACGAGTAATTGATAGTATACTTTGACCTCCTTTGTCGGTAACACAGCACCCCCCCGTGTGGCAACACTGCTATCAGTACCGACAAAGAAGGACCAAGTTCAACAATATTAAAATAAAAATTAAATGAATGAACTAATTACAATGGGAATGGTAAAATTACATGACCGGCAGACGAACAATTTTTCTAACTGGTCTTTTGAAAACCCCAGCTTTTGTGGACACTTCCACTACGCGCACTGTACCATCTGGCCCAGGGTGTAGTGCAGTAATTCGACCTATTGGCCAAAGGCCCCTCGGTAAGGTCTCGTCTACGATAAGGACTACGTCTCCATTTTGAAGGGGTACTTGCGGGGAATTTGTATGTGGTTGACGTCTAGGAATTATTGTGGGCAAATATTCTTTAACCCATCGGTTCCAAAAGTGGTCGGCTAAACGAATTGCCTTTCTCCACTCTGTTCTGCCAGATAAGTCACTATCGGAAAGGTCTGCAGTATTAGGTAATTTTTGCGTCGAGGGAGTGCCTAGTAAAAAGTGAAATGGCGTTAATGCAATTGGTTCATCTGGATCCATGGGAACATGCACGAGTGGTCGGGAGTTGATAATGGCCTCAACTTCTGCGAAAATAGTCTGCAGCGTTTCTTCTTTCGGGGCTCTCTGCTTTAATGTTACGCTCAGCGCTGTTTTGACACTGCGAACCATTCGCTCCCAGCAGCCACCCATGAAAGGAGAAGCGGGTGGAATAAACTCCCATGTGATGCGGTTGTTTGCTGCAAATTGTTCAATTTCGGAGCAAAAGAAGCTTTTCAATTGTTTGTTTGCCCCGACGAAACATGTGCCGTTGTCACTGAGAATTTTAGAAGGACAACCCCGTCGAGCGATGAAGCGCCTCAAAGATAAAATTGCAGAGTCCGCGGAAAGTGATGCCACAATTTCTAGGTGTAGGGCACGGGACGTCATGCATGTGTAGATTGCACCATACCTTTTTTCACGTCGCCGACCAATCGCCACTTCTAATGGGCCAAAGTAGTCCAGTCCAACAAACATAAATGGTCGGCTGTGGTGCGCCAAACGTACAGCGGGCAAATTTCCCAGTCTTGGAATCTCGCTTTTGGCTTTTTTGTTTCTGCAGTATTGACACAGCGATGACATCTTGCGGACCACGCCACGACATTTTAAAATCCAAAATCGCTCCCGAAGCATGTTGACGACGGTTTCACTATTACCATGAGCTGCCTTTATATGAAAATAGTTCACTAGCAGCTGAGTGATGTGGTGCTTTCCATCTAGCAGAATCGGGTTATTACTTAATTGATCCGCCTTTTCTACTAAACCTATTCTTCCGTCAAGTTTCAGCAAACCATCTTGGTAAATTATAGATAAGCGATACAATTTACTATGCTTAGGAATAGGTTTGGACATCAAAAGACAAGAGATTTCTTCTTCGAACGATTCCACTTGCGAACGTCGGAGAAGCATATCCTCAGATTTAATGATATGAGATGCTAATAATGGGGGATGAAGATGAACGGGGGGAGATTGGACACGACGAAGTAATTTATGTTTTTTATTACACAATAAGGACCGGAAAATGTCACAGGCCTGAAATACGGTTGCAGTCGATCGAACAAGCCGTAACCAGGAGCTGTGTCTGAATGGATCCGTAGTAACCAATAGAGGCTCTAAATGCGATGTAGCACCGATAAAAAGAACGGTATCTTTGTAGTTCGATCTAACCTCTTCAAATGTCTTAACATTAATATGAGGCTCTGATGGCCACTCGCTTGGGTTGAGCAAAAGAAAGGGCGGGCCACTTAGCCACTGCTCTAGGGAATTACCAGAACGAGTAGCAGCATCAGCGACGTTTAGACTACCTGGAACGTATCTCCAACTTGAGATTTCGGTTAACTCAGAAATCTCAGCTACTCTGTGCATAACGAAGGGTTTGAATATACGACTGTCATTTCTAAGCCAACTAAGAACCGTAGTAGAATCGGTCCAGAAAAATATGCGATTTGGTTTATTTCTGTGAGCCTCACAAATGGTTTTTGCAAACCGGGAAGCAATTAACGCACCTTGCAACTCTAAACGTGGTATAGTCACGGGCTTGACGGGAGCAACACGAGCTTTGCCGCCTACTAGTGAAAGTTTAACACGACCATCATCATAAATAAAACGCCAATAGGCTACGCAAGCGTAAGCTAATTCGCTGGCGTCACAAAGAACGTGTAGCTCCCGTTCGATGATACTATCATTACCATCACTATACCAACGTGGCACCTTAATTTTTTGAACATCTGTCAACTTGGAAATCCAGGAAATCCACTCGATAGAATGGCTTGAGCTAAGTTCATCGTCCCAATCTATATTGGATTTCCATGTTGACTGAAACAATATTCTTCCTTCAATAGTGTACGGAAGTAAAAAACCTAGTGGGTCGTATACCTTCATCAAGTAAGATAGTACTTTTCTTTTTGTTAGACATGGTTCAATCTCTACTGTCGAATATTTAAAACAAAGTTTGTCACTTTGCGGATGCCAGATTAAGCCTAAGGTCCGAACAAAGGGTTCTGGCCCTAGACCGACATCTGAAATCTGTGGAGCACCATGTAAGTCTTCACTAATGGACGATAACACAGAAGGGTGGTTGGATACCCAGCCTCGCATTTCGAAACCTGCAGCTTTGTGGATATGAACGATGTCTGCAACGAGCTGCGAGGCTTCTTCCTCGGAATCCACGCTTCCAATGTAATCGTCCATATAATGATCTTTGATGATCTTTTCTACGGCCGATGGAAACTTATCGTGGAACTCTAAAGCGTTTCTGTTTTTAATGTAGAGTGCGGTGCATGGACTACAAGCTGCCCCAAAAATAACAGATGTCATCCTATATTCTATGATTGGAGATTTGGGGTTATCACGCCACAAAAAACGAAGAGCATCGCGGTCCTGCTCCCTGATCCTCACTTGAGGGAACATCTCCCTTATGTCGGCGTTCATAGCTACGCGGCCTTCCCTAAATCGACATAAAATGTCTAATAATGATTGTAATAGGTCGGGACCAGTGAGCAAAAGCGAGTTTAAATTTACTCCCAGACTTTTCGCGGCAGCGTCATGTACGACACGTAATTTCTTCTTTTGTGGGTGTACGACACCGAAATGAGGCAAATACCAATAAATTTTGTTGTCGTTTGGACAGGAAGGTTGTTTTCTAGAGTCATAAGTGTCGAGACATTGCTCGGAATAACCTTTGTCGAGCATTCCCTGAATAAAACTTTTGTACCCAGACATAAACTGAGGATCTTTCTGCATACGTCTCTCTAAAGAAAGAAACCTCGAGAGGGCGTGTGGATAACTATCTGGGACGTTTACTATGTTATCTCGCCATAATAATCCTACTTCAAATCTACCAGAAGGTAAACGCTTCGAAGTTGAGTTTAAAATTACTAAAGCACGCTCATTTAGCTTATTATCTTTGACATCACCCTTAGAAATTCCGATACTGTCAAGTTTAAAATAATCATTGATTAGAATGTCTAAGGGTGTGTCCACACTGTCAAAATGTTGGACGGTTGCGTGATTAATAAAATGTACTGGACGGGTCCAGCTATTCGACTGCCCATGTAGAGTCCATCCTAGAAGAGTGCGTGTAGCAACCGGCTGAGATTTGGAGCCCTCACGCACTTCCCTGGGAATAGTTAAATGCCAATTATCAGCTCCAAGTAGAATTTTCGGAGTAGCATGGTCTAAAATTAAACTTTCTGCTAAGTCCGACAGGTGTGGATATTTGGTTATGTAATCTCTGTCGATATTTTGTGTAAAAAGGGATAAAGATTTTACAGTTTTGGCATTTCGAACATCATAGATTATATTTTCTTTAGCCCCTTTAATAGCGAAATTTACAAGCTGTACTTCGGTGGCGATCGTCATTCCACTAACGCCCTCTAGACGCAACTGACGCATTGGACCCACTGCCCCAATAGTTTGCGCTAAATCAGAATCAACAAGGGTGGCTGTGGATCCATCGTCAAGGAGCGCGTAAGTGTTGACGCTTGCCAAAGGACCGGACACTGTTACTGGGACGATACGTAGATAGACACTTTGTAAGCAAGAGTAGGAAGTGGTCGTATTCGTTATCGTGACTTTTTCATCAATGGTATTGTCGGATGGTGTAATATTCTGGTCGGATGATTTTGAAGGAACCGTAAAATTTTTGGATGGTGGAGGCTCACACCCATGCAACAACGGATGATGAAAACGAAGGCAGCCGTCAACACCACACCGCTTCGCTTTGCACGTTTTCCATCGGTGTGAACCTCCCCTAAGGCACCGATAACAAAATTTCACCTCATACAACCATGACCATCTTTGTTCTGGGGTAAGTTTTTGAAATTTAGTGCATTTTTTTATAGTATGATTCTGGTTACAAAAAGCACAATTTTCATTTGTACTTTTGATAACAGGTGAATTTGTCGATATTATGTTAACACTTTCACGACGAGTAAAGGAAGAATTTACGAACATTTGCTCAGTAATGCCAAATTTATTGTACTTGTGTGTCTCTAGACTTAAAAAATCGGATAACATAACAAATTTTGGTTTTCCTAGTGAAACATTGGTAAAGGCAAAATCAAGCCATTTATTCCGCAAAAGGGGAGTTAATTTACTTAAGACACTATGCGTAAGCTCTGGAGAGTACAAATATTCGCTTTGGTTTAAAAGATTTAGCACTGAAATGCAATTTTTTAATTTACAGCTAAAGTTGTTAATGTCTCTAAGATCATGTGAGAGTCTAGGTAAACCACGTACCTCCGCAACCTCACGCATGACGATTGCCTCCGGGCGTTCGAAAGTTTGCTCCAGTATACTCATCACTTCGTTGGGGTCGTCGGTGGTCAATAATAACGTGGCTACACAATCACGTGCTTTACCTTGGAGCACATGACGTAGGCGGTTCAGGTTTTCTAAATTGGAAAAATAATCTTTAGAGAAATTGTAATTCTTTTTGAAAATTAGCCATTCTAAATGACCGCCACTAAAAGGAGTCAAGTTCTCTATTTTCTTTGAACTCATGGCGGATGTAATCGCTTTGGCTAATTTGTTTATATCTGAACACTGATGTTTACATTCGTTTGTGACAATGGATGCCTCAGATGGACATTTTTCCTGCACAAGACCGCCTGGTTTGCCTAATAAAAGTTTATTGGATTGTACCTGGTCGGCTACCCAAGCCTCTGTCCGAGACGTAGACTTTACTTTATGAGACTTGAGGCTGGCACCGACTTCCAAGCTTGCTAATTCGGCCGCAAGCTCCAATTCCTCAATGCGCCGTCGCTCGTTTTCCAACTGCACCTGGCGTTCGAACTGTTGCCGTGCGAATTTAGCCTCGGCCGTCGCCCGAAGGGCTCGAACTGTAGCCGACGACGACCTGGAAGCAACGCTGTGAGAAAAAGATTCTACTGGCTGCTGAGAGTTCGGGTTTATAGAACATGGTGCTAGGTTGGGCGCAGCGGCTGCTTCGGAAATGTGGCACGAAGCCTGGTCGTGAGCTTCCGCGTTGGGCGCACTAACACCTAAACCAGAATTCTCAGTAGCGAGTGCCTCCGCATGAGCTGATTTCGCCCTGGTAATCATTATTTCCAGCGAGAAGGACCAATTTTGTAAACGAAAGAAATAAAACGGAAAAATAATATAAATAAAAACCAGCTCTGCAGTGACATGAATTGATAGAATGACATTTATTTTCTTTTTAAAAATATATTAACATCAACGAGTAATTGATAGTATACTTTGACCTCCTTTGTCGGTAACAGGAACCTTTCGAGCTTTTTTCGGCGAAAAATTGTTGATGATTTCGTTGAAATTGAGTTCTTGGAGAGTGTGAAGGGCCCCTGTTTGTGGAGGCCCTGGGGCTTTCGCCCCGGTTGCCCTCCCCTAAATCCAGCAGTGAGAAGGGCATTGAACTATTAATTGCAAGAGAGGTTGAAACGAAATCCATACTCACTTTGGGTTGTCTTTATATTGAAATTTCCTATTGTTTGCCAATGAATTTTCATGAATTTAGAATTTAGGTCCAATATCATCATATATTTACCGGAATTTTACATAATGATTTTTTTAGTATAAATTTACATGTGCTTACTGTGCGCTGTATCTTTATTATGAGTTGAATGTATGTAAAGGCCTTGCTTCCTTGTGATAACAAAGGGTTAGTGCATGGTCCAATATAAATTTTTTTATAGTAAAAAAACACCTATGGCTGAAAAGAAACAGTCCGCAGATTAGCAAATGGCACAAAACAAAAGAAAATGCATAAACAAATTAAATTACGAAAGTACTCGCCATTTTTTAAAGAAATTAAATGAACAGGCCGACAGCCATCTGCACGGCAAACTTCATGTCTCCTGCTTAAACAAAATTACATATAAATTAAAGAAATCGTTCAAGAAAAACAATGTTTGAATTTAGAAAAACACCATTAAAAATAATTGATAATCATAAGTATTATCTTAAACAAAAATGTGATTAAGGAATCACATGTTGTGAATAAGAAATTATGCTTGAAGTGATGTTAAAGTTATCTTCCTTTTGTTCTTTCCAAAAGGCAAGCAAGGGAATCAGTCTAGATAAAGACTAGTTAAACCAAACAAAAAAAAACGCATAGACGCTAAAAAGATCTCTGGTAAAGAAGGACAAGTGAGACAACTTTGACGACCCCCATGGCCGAGTGGTTTATACGCCGAGTTCAAGGTGTGGCCATCTCGAGAGGTCCCGGGTTCAAATCCCGGTGGGGGCAGATGTTTGTGTGATGAATACGAGCATTTGTACTCCAGTCATGGATGTTTAATAATATGTATTTCTATATAAATATACTTATATATGTATCAGTTTATGTATTCTATCCGTTACTCTAGCATCTCATAACACAAGCCTACAGTGCTTACTTTGGGGCTAGGCTAAGTGGCGTGAGTGTTGGAAATATTTATTTTATTTTTATTTATAACTTAATCAGAGAGAAGCCTTCTATGTAGGGATGCAAAGTCTTTTGAAATATCGATATTTATATCGAAGTCAGGCAAATATCGATATCCGATATATCGACCATTTTAACTCGATATTATCGATGTATCGATATTATTTTCTTTTTTGCTTTATATTAAGTTTGCAAAGCAAAAACCTAAAATTAAGGATGCAAAGATTTCCGAAATATCGATATTTATAATGTGGGCAGGTAAATATCGATATCCGATCAGATATGTCAGCCATTCCAACATTTCCAACACGATATTTTCTGTATTTTTTTATAGCGCTGTAAGAAGTATCAAATCAAAAGCAATTTCGAATCAAAGATATTTATTTTGTTTGAAATATTTGCACGCAGCCAAAATCAGAATAGATAATCATATGAAAAACAATTGTTATGAATTAGTAAAACCTACACATCAGGCTTCAGAATAGGGTAAGCCCAAAGCTTCCAAAATTACTATACCTATTTTACTTTCTTGACTTGGCGAGCTTAAAAAAATTACGATTTGTATAAGATTCTTAATTTTATTTTGTGTTATATTACAATGATATTAAATTTCAATTAATTAGTAGTTGACAATTATCTAGAAAAAGAGGCAAGGATTTTATTTAAGTGCATGAGTTACCATTAGGTATACGATTATACCTATATACGTTGGTGTCGATTCTGGCATGATTATCTAAATTTAAAACTAAATTTAACATCAGTCTCTCCTTTTCATTCTGTATAGAGAATGACAAGGATACACTGTTGTCAAATTTAATTTTAGGTTTAGAGAAACATGCCAGAGTCCACACCAGTTTAGTATATTTCTTGGGGTTCGAGATTTTTTTAATACATCAATAAGCTCTTGCAATTTCAAAGCAATAGTTATTTCGATATTATTCAATTTAGATAGTCGTAGCAGGTAAATTAATTGATATTATTGTGTTCAAATTAAGTCTACGAAATATCGATATTTTGGAATTTCCGATATCGATATTATCGATATCAGTGAATTTTAAATATCGATATAAATATCGATATTTTGGTCTCGATAATATCGATATTCCGATATATCGTTGCAACCCTACTTCTATGTCTCTCTTCAATCAAACAAAACTCATGTGACGTTTTTAACATGTTACAGCATCTCTTATAAATAATGTATTGTTGTATTCAGAGCCGGTTGGTCTCCATTATTCACATGCTACTCATGGGAATTAATATAGTAAGAGTCCTGGGAGACCATTAATATAAAATTTATAGCACTAAGATTTAAAATAAAATAAATTCTGACCATATATAATAAAACACTACAGATATGGGGTTCACAGAGCCACAACCCTGGGAGTTGCTGCATCAAGCCTCCCTAAGTGTTGTTAATATTTAATTAAACTTTCTAGGTAGATGCTCACAACATAGTTCCCTGCTGGGAAGCCTCAAATAAACAAGAGTACTCAGCAAGGACAATCCGAAACAAAATCAATTCAAAATTGGGAGAATATCTCACAGAATTTCCACCAGTGATCAAACATCCTTACACAAGCAAATTTGAACCTGAGGTAAGATTGGTTGATTTAACTCACCACTTTGCAAAATATATTGGACTAAGGTAGTGTTACCAATGACCGACAGAAGCTAGTGATACATATTTTTTTCTCTGATGAAAGTGGGAGTGGGTGCCTGATTATTAAATATGGTAACACTGGGCTATAGACGCTCTGTGTTACCATAATTAGTGGTTGGTTGCATACTCTTACTTTCATTGATCATGGAAGTGAATAATAATATTTTTATTTGAATCAAAAATTTGTTTTACAATCGTTATGTACATTTGGTTGCTATTCAGTTATCATTTAAAGGAGCTCTAGTTGTAGCTACTTACTACGTTGACAAAACAACTTGTACTAAAGGAGCTAAGTCCACCCATATATTAGCTGAAGTTACAATTTGCAGTTATAGCGTTAAATAGAATTAAGGAGAATAAGAAAATATTTGTTGCATGCATGTAAGTGTGTGTATGTGTGTGTACGTGCGTGCGTGTGGGCGTGTATGTGTGTGTGAGTGTGGGATCAAAAGTGGAGGGAAAGAAGTGTGTCAAAAAACAAAATATACTAATGCAATTGTGATCTAAAAAGAATTGGTATTTAATAAGTTTAATGTACGGTGGCTGTCTGAAAATGTTTACCAGTTTTGAAATTAGATTCACATAAATCTAAAATGCCATATCAAGTAACTTATTACCTTTCAAAAGTTATTATGCAATATGACGCATCGAGAATAACAAAAATAATTATATATAACTTTTTGATATTATTGATTGAAAAAAAATATTGTTTAAACATTGTTTGGACAAGTGCAAAATTTTACGAATAATATTTGCATAACGAAATAAACTAACAAGTTTGACCCTGGAGCAAAGGGCTGAAATAATATTTCTCTTCGAAGGTGGACAAGTATTAGTGATATATCACGAGAACTCAATATATCGCGATTCAATGTGAGGTTTTGGATCCGGCGTCACGGCGAAGAAGGGCACTTAACAGATCATAGAAATAATTCATTACAACGACCAATTCTAACCGCCGCGCAAATAACAGAAATAATTCGTCGTTATGAAGAAAACTGTTTCACACCAACTAGTTATTTTGCTGCTTTATATGATGCGAGTGTTCGGACGGTCCGACGACCTTTGCACAGTGCTGGACTACACGACAGAAACACTGTGCTTAATAGCAATGTAGCAGTGGAGCTGAAACCTCACCACAAAACAGCCCGGCTTAACTTTGCGCGACATCATGATTTTGCATGGTCGAATACTATATTTACCGATGAGAAAACCTTTAAATCAAGCCAAATCGGAAGATTAACTTTATGGCGCTATAATCGAACTCGGTATGATGAAGCTCATATCGTGCCTCAAAACGAGTCAGGTCGCATAACAGTAAACTTATGGGGGTGGATGAGCTTCGACGGCGTCGGAGAACTGGCGTCGTTACAGAATAGGGCTACTGCCATTAATTATGTGTCGCTTTTGGCAGAAGTGATGCTGCCTACTGTGCGCGTAGTGTGTCCTGCAACAGAATTCCTGCCCATTATTTATATTCAAGATAATGCACGGATACACACGGCCCGTGCTACTATGGCGTGGTTCAACCGGCACTGTGACATTCGTCCCATTGAATGGCCCGCTCAGTCTGCTGATTTAAACCCTATTGAAAATTTATGGGGGCTTATGATTCAATGCTGGGACTGTCAAAATGAAAAGAACCCTCATACTCGAGTACAGTGTGATCTAAGATCATGATCTTAGATCACACTGTACTCGAGTATGGGGTGATATTAGAGGGACGGATCTATGCGCGCATCAATGCGAGATAGACTACGTGCCATCATAGCTGCAGAGGGAGGTTATACTAGATATTAAATAAAGATTTTTGAAGTTTCTATTTTATTATTTCTTCGTATTCGTAGTCAAAAAACTAAAATATTAGTTTTTTTCAATGGTTTTCTATATTTATTTGACGTCACGGCTAGTGCAGAGCGCGCAACGGGTCGCGGGTTCAATTCCCGTACGGCACAGATATTATGTATGGCCTACAGAAATTTGCCCTGGCCTGGGCGTATGTGCACTGTGCATGTGAGATTATATGTTTGAATTACACCTACGGTACAGAAGGAAATCCTATCCTAATATATATATGTTACGCTCAAAGATCGAAAACGCTCAGTGAGCGGAAAAATAGCTCACAACGCGTTGTGGTCACAGTAAAACATCCACATCGCGAAATTCGTGTTATGGCTATAATGAAAACGCGCACTACGCGTTGTGGCAATCACAGAAAGACCATATAGCGAAATTCGTGTCGTGGCTGACATGCTATTCGATCTCAACGCGTTGTGGCAATGAATAAAAGCCATGACGCGTATGGAATATTATTTAATTACGACGCACACTACTTTCCGATATGGATCCTACTAGGCCTAGGCTGGAAACGTTTTGGTAGATGTCTTTAGGAAATATTTTATAAAATCACTGCATAGCGTGTTTGTCATTATTAAATATGTTATATAATTATATTAATTAAAATAAAACGATATTTGTTATTTACTGAGATTACTTTATATTTTAAAAAATCAACGTATTAAGTAATAAATTACTGAACACAAAATATTAATCAATTGTAAATTACTTATAATTAATTCACTTAAAATAATTAGGGATTTTAATTTTTTTATGACAATTTAAAATTCTTTCAAGTAATAAAAATATTTTCACAAACATAAATGTTTATTGATCACCAATAAACAACAACAATGTACTTAAATCAATACTTATATTAGGAATTACTATAATTGTGAAAAATAAGTATTTGATTGCTATTTATTTTTATAGGAACTATTACTGTGGTATTTTGAGTTGCATTTTATATTATTGGAGCGATACTTGCACTTTTTATCAATACATTATCTTTTGCAGTGGCACATTATAAACCCTTTCTTACTTCCAGATGATAACATAGATGCTGAGCGAAGTGTTAATGACGAAGTTGAGGGCACATCACAAAAGTTAATAAAGTTGGTTTCAGAAAGTGTAAACAAATTACGTGCATAAAGTCTATCGAATGTACCTTCCTTGTTTCCTAACTGGTAGAGACCTGATGAATTAATGATCATAACAACACACATAACATTCCTGGGTGCTGCACGTCCTCTATCAACTTACAACCTGTCCGTCGTGATATGGTTAAAACAATGAATGCTCAGAACGCGTCATGGCTTTTCTGCATTGCCACAACGCATTGAGATCGAATAGCATGTCAGCCACGACACGAATTTCGCTATTTGGTCTTTCTGTGATTGCCACAACGCGTCGTGCGCGTTTTCATTAGAGCCATAACACGAATTTCGCGATGTGGATGTTTTACTGTGACCACAACGCGTTGTGAGCTATTTTTCCGCTCACTGAGCGTTTTCGATCTTTGAGCGTAACATATATATCAAACCTTGATAGTAGGATAGTAGGTTCAGTCCATCGCCTAGAGCGATTAATGGTCATATCATTACAAAAAAGATAATATATGGTCAATCAAATTATTATGAAATAAACATTTAGAACTTGTGACCTAAATGTGTGCATGCAATTATGACCCTTAAGGTGGTAAACATTTTCTGACCGCTTCCGTACCATCGTAATTTTGTCAGTGATTGGTGCCACTACTGTACTATAATACTCAGAAAATTTTACCAAAACTTGCAGCCAATTGATTGGGACCAAGCAATTGAATCAAGGGAGGCTGATAAATCAGTAGGGCCAGTAGACTGGGCTAAACCAGGTTATGATGAGGCTGTGAAAATGTTGAAAAGCTTTATTGACAAGAGGTTAAAAATATTTTCTTCCAAAAGGAATGACCCCACACAAGATGCTTGCAGTAATTTATCGCCTTGGTTTCATTTTGGTAAGATTATATTATTCCAATTCGAAATACTTCACAACTTTTACATTTAATGTAGTCTTACTAAAAAAGTTAAGAAAGTATATATTATGTATAATATTTTTATATCAATTAATTAATTAGTGAATGATATTTTAGTGGATTATCAAATGAAGCTATGTAGATGTGATCTAACAAGCTTCTCAAGTTTAAAATAAATAAATAATTAGCAAAAATAAATAACTATTTCAGTTATTGAGTAGCGCAAAATTCAAAGATAATATAAAAAATACCGGCCAAGTGCGTGTCGTGCCACGCGCAGTGTAGGGTTCCGTAATTCAGTAATTAAATTTTGAAGTTGCGGCGAAAACGTTTCCCTGAACATTATGGCGTCTCACTAGTATGTAACGTCATACGGCTGTCATTAAAACGTCAAACGATACAATGTAATGTCACTTTACTATATACTAGTGATGACTAGTAATAAACTAGCGTGTGACGTCATTTTAGTCTTGGCCAATTCCAGGCGCGAACGAAAGTTCACGTGACCATGGAGCAAAACAATCAGATTTTATAGAAAAAATATTAATTATTTGTACTTTCAGAATAGTAAAATCTCTGAACATTGTTTTTCGTACTGTCTAATATACTATTTAAAACAAATTCATATGTAGGTTTTGCTTGTAACCTTAATGTATCAAATTATTTATCAGTAAATATACCACTTGGATAAAATAAAAAATATAGCACATAACATAATACAAGTTTCGTGCATTAACCCGTAAAAACTAGTTTTATTTAATGAGTGATGTGCGTGAAAACCTAAGAAACAAATATAACATAATACAAGTATGATAACTGACATTGCTTTTTAATTATTTTTTATTACAGGTCAAATTTCAGTTCAAAGAGTTGCTCTATGTGTGCAAGAATACAAATCTAAACACACAGAGAGTGTGAACGCATTCCTAGAGGAAGCTATCGTTCGTCGAGAACTGGCTGATAATTTCTGTTTCTACTGCGAACATTACGATAGTCTCAAGGGTGCTAGCGCTTGGGCCCAAAAAACACTGGATGACCACAGGTTAATGCATGGATATATTATTGGCTAGTCTCCTTTCTTACATGACTAAAAGGCTGTAGCGAGTGAATATTCAATTATCATGCGATCACTCTTCTCGACTATGAGCAGGTTTGGTATTGAGGATACCATTTGTTTGTCCATTTTTCATTAACTTTATTATTTTCAGCCTATTAATGTCCCCACAGCTGGGGCACAGGCCTTCCCTATATAATTACAACTTATGTTAAATCAGTCCACACTTTATAAATTTAAAATATTTAAATAAGTATAAAATTGAATAAATGATATAAATATTTTCAACACTCACACCAATTAGCCTAGCCCCAAAGTAAGCACTGTAAGGCTTGTGTTATGTGATGCTAGGGTAACGGATAGAATACATATACTGTTAAGTATATTTATATAGAAATACATATTCAACATCCATGACTGAAGTACAAATGCTCGTATTCATCACATAAACATCTGCCCCCACCGTGATTCGAACCCAGCGAACTACGAACCACTCGACCACGGAGGTTGTCAAAAATTAATTGTTTTGTGTCTGCATATAAATATAGGGACCAAACAATCTTACCAAATCTTTTATTTTTTACTACATTTTTCGATGTATTAATACGAAAACTACTTGACTCTTTTTCGTTTTCATTTCTCTCATAGAAAAGACAAAAGAACTCACGTATACAGCCTAGAGCAGTTATCCAAAGCTGAGACTCACGACGATCTATGGAACTCGGCTCAGCTGCAGTTAGTGAAGGAAGGCAAAATGCACGGCTTCCTACGCATGTACTGGTGCAAGAAGATTCTAGAATGGTCACCAACACCCGAGGACGCGCTCAAATACAGCATATATTTAAACGACCACTACAGCGTGGATGGCAGGGACCCCAATGGCTATGTCGGTATGTATCAGTGAATCAGAAGCGCTACCAACTCCAAAAATATATTTACCCTCAAGGAGATCGCCTAGATATAAATTTGACTTGCTTGCCTGACCAATCATATGTGCTTCCTCCACGTCGAAACTTGAATGAATTCACTCGATGATACCAATTCGAACTGAGTTCGTACCTTTACACCATCGATTTATGAATATACACTTCCCCCTTCCCCCTCCTCAAAGGTCATCGGCTGCCGACGCCCTGAATTACCCTAAATCTAAGGTAAAAACCCCCTTAATTGATAAATTAATTCGGTACTTGCGGCTCAAAAGTGATCCGCTTAAATTGTGGTGCACGACCACAATTCGCTTTAGTCACAAGTGGATATCCACACACGATGCATGTGCTCTCAATATAGGGCTGCCATCCGTCCGGGTTTCCCCGGATTTGTCCTAGTTTACAGATATATTGAATTTAACTATTCTATATCATGATTTATTGGTTTGTAGTGTCCAGGTAGGTTTAATATTGTAATTTTAATAGATTTGTATTATCTGTGTTTGCCTACCTTCTAATGTGAGCATAAAAATTCAAATGTTATATTTTAGTCCTTATTTTCATTTTTTGGTAAAATTTAGTATTGGTTTGTTATAATATTGATAAAAACGCACTCGGACATATTTTTTGTTTTGAAATTACCTTCGATGGATTTTAAAATGTGGATATTTTTGTCTCATTTTAATTTTCTCTCTATACAGATTGTTTTAATTAATTTTATACATTGATAGGAACACTGTTTCATATTATACGGGAATGGGCGTTAATTCTGCAACACAGTTTTTGTAAAACTAAAGCAGTTTTAACGATTCATAATTTTATGTACATTGCACTTGTTCCAAATAAAGTTATTATTATTATATTATTATTATTATTATTCTAGATCAATATGTTTGATCGTCGACTCGTACGATGATCGCATCGCTCATTCGCGTTATCGCGTTGTATTAGGACAATGCCTTACAGTGCTTATTTTGAGGCTAGGCTAATTGGTGTGTGTTGGAAATATTTATTTATTTATTTCTATACAGGTTGTATGTGGTCCATTTGCGGTATACACGACCAAGGCTGGGCAGAACGCGCGGTTTTCGGCAAGATCCGCTTCATGAACTACGACGGATGCAAACGGAAGTTCAACGTGAACGCATTCGTCGCTCGATACGGGGGGAAAATACACAAGAATACGTCTAAAAAGTGAGAAATGAACTCCATGATTGCCAATTGCATTGGAGATTATTATATAAAATATGAAAAAGATATTGAGAGGGGAGGCGGCTAATGTTTTTTTCCATGCAAATTTTCTCTACTGATTCCGCCATGTTTTTTAGCGCTGGAGAAATGATTTTCATACATTAAGTTTAATTTTACTCATACTATGCTCCTGTGTCTTCCTTTTGTCGAGAACTTGTGTTTTAAAGAAACTAGAAACCCTCAAAAAGAAACAAATTTTTATCACTATTAAAGACGTCTAGTGTGGTGATTTTATAAAAATTACAAAAAAGGTAAACATAGAAGCCTAATATAATTACTTATTATTCTATGGGTAAAAATTATTTTACATATACAGTAAAACCCGTTTAAGACGATTTCACAGGGATTCAACCAAAACCGCGTCTTAAGCGGGAAAGCGTATTAAGCGGGATTGCGGGATAGGGAAATTTCGAATGTAGGTATTGAGGTATTAAATATAGGTACAATATTTAAGAATTATTTACGATATAAAAATAGTGTATTATTATGACGTTTGTATTATATAATTAAAAATTAATCACTTATTTTAGTTTGACAAAAAGATTTTGAAGCATTAGCAATTACAAAATTTTCACATAAATTAACTTTTGGTTTGCTTCTTAGCTTTGATTCAAAGAATTTACATAGCGTCTTAAATTATTAACTACTGATAATGCCTGGGCGTGTGACAAAATCGGAGTTGATTCATTTTTTTCTTGATCGTTATCACTAAGGGCCTTGTGTGTTATTCACATTCTGGATAAAATCTTGAATTGATTAAATTTGGTACGGTGCCACATTGTCATCAATGGAAGAATATCCAGGAAAACCCTGGGGGTCGCTTAGCGTGCGTCGCTCGACAGTCGTCACGGCTATCGCTAGCCGCTGCCGCAAGAGGTAATATGTGTGGTACGTGTTAGCGATTTAGGCGTATTAAACGGGATGACGAATCCTATTAAGCGTTAAGAAATGTATGAAAACATGTCTCAAGTTGCAGGAACCGACGCAAAATGGCGTATTAAGCGTGATCGTATTAAACGGGCTCTACTGTATCTTATTTGTATCCTCAAAAATTTTTTTCCTCCTGTATATCGTCGGGAACCCTGCAATTTTTTTAAACAATTTTCAGCGTTAGCTATTGTTGTCCCTATCACACTGTAGTTGCCAATGCGCGACAGCAATAGGTTTTTTCAAATACCTTTTTCTCGAATGTCTCTCAGCTCGCGTCCGCTCTTTACAAGCGATTGCCTAAGTTTAGTAAAGAATAAAGGAAATGTACTAGTACTTCACATGGCTATTTGTAAATATGTAATCAATTTATCGTTATCTTTCAAAATTCCTTAACTACACCAATGTTGAAATGATTAGTCTATTGAAATCAGTCATTTCTATTATTAAACTATTTAGTATGTAAATGTTAAGATTTTATCTCGCGGTATCCACTACAGTAATATAATAATAATGTCAATTAACTATGTGATGTGCCAGCTTGACATATCTGCGATTCAATATTATTACGTTTCATAGTACAAATATTAGGATGTAATTATAAGGAACTTCAGCGCATAATAAATTAGTGCCACAATGCGCATGAGTCGCGAACCGTGACGGATGGTAACGCGAAGGCCGTACGGACCCGTCTGTTATTTTGTTCAGAAGCCCAAGCACGAATTGACAGCTTCGTAACGTATTGCATCGTCAAAGTTTCTATGAAAACTAAGCAGCGCCCCTATCGGACGCAAGAACAAACTAGCTTTATCCATACAAAACATTTGACAATACGTTAAGGAGCTGTCAAAAATTCGTACTTTGGCCTCAGACTTGTAGAGAAATCACGCACGACAACGCAAGTTCGCGCGCGCGGTTTTTGTTCTAAACTTTTTCTTTTCGAGAAACGAAAGATATTGCTAGCGACAAACCTTTAACCAAGTCTTATATTATGATTCGACTTTTTTGCTTTATTACTTATTACATAAAGACGATATTCCCTTATGCTGAGGCATAATATAAAATTCAGCCACTTTGCGATGATGTTCGTTTTATCACGAAGTCTAATCTCGATGCAACAAAATGAACGAAGCGGTCGCCCTGTTTTTCATTGCGGCCAATAATAACTTAATAAATACATTAGACTGATTGACTTAATCGTTTGAATGCGGCCCCTGTTTGTAATTGCTCAAAATTGTATTATTTTATTACACCAATCCATATCAATTTACACCGTTTTACCGTCTCATGGTCACTAAACTCAAGTGTCCATACGTAGAGTCAACAGAAATGTGACTACGCAAGTGATGCCGGCACTTCACTTCGGTATTCGTGTTTGCTATTTATGAACTTGACCTCAGTTGGTTCTTTTTCATTCCATCAAAAAAAATTGGTTGGCTGTAAAGTAGGTTTACGGACGATAGTTTTACGTAATAAAGTCACAAAGGTACATTGATGAAAAAATATCGTGCTTCTCTATCGCTTGTTCCGCGCTCTCGCTTGCAGGCTCAGGCGGAACGTGACACTTTTTCGTGCGTGCAGCCGGTGTTCATCGATTAATAAGACATTATCACGTCAAAAACATGATAAAGACTGTTGTCAAGTTAACAAATACGAAATACGAATAGCTAAGTCAAGTGCCGACATGAAATTTCCGGACTTGTTGTGCTTGCAAATGTTTACCGTCTACAGACGGCCTAAAATTCTTTTGTTCAAATGTCGACAGCATATCAGCTAGCAGAAAACTTACAAAAAAATCCTACTTTATTTTGTACTTAATGTAAACGCGTTAAGATTTACAGCTAAGGGTCAATTTATACTAGCGCAGAGTCGAAGGGCAGCGAAGCGTAAAATTCTTCACAACTAAAGCAAAGTTGTACGCAAACGCTTTCATCAGCAGTAGTGCTTTTGCATCATTATTTGCACGATCATGATCATTGATCTATCATGGGCTAATTTCCGACTGATGACGGGTAAGTTCGTTAGTGAGCGCGCGGATTCGCGAGAATGCGCGCGCTCCAATTAGCGTTGGTCACGCGCAGATGCGCGAATTCCGTCGAATGAGCGCGCGTCTTTTTATATCTCCGAAGTAATGTTTGCCGTCCGCTGTCGAGATAAGGTTGAATTTTTTTTATGTCAATAATTGGATTTACGCTTCAACTCTGCCAGTATATATTGACCCTAAATGAAGTTTGTCCATTTTGTATAAACCGTAATATAAATGTGTTTGTTGTTATTTTATATTAAGGATTTATAAATTTTGGAGAATGTTGTCTGTTAGCACATAAGATTTTAGATTTGTTTAAGCTAAATAATGAATCATCAAAATATCGAATATCCAACATGTTTTATATAAAAACATAAAATAACTTATTCATTTTATAAATTAGAAACTACTTTCAAGACTTTTTTACAGTCAATTGCTCCACGCACATTGATCTGTAATTTTTTATACCTTCATCATCTTTTATTCAAATTTCCTTTTAAGGAGTTTTAAACATATACTATATTTTTTAAGCATTTAACTGCTAGGTGTTTAAATCTTAAGAAAAATTAACAGAGAACAGAACAAAGCTTAATTTCTGTTACATCACACCCATATTGCCGTTAGGCTCAACTCATACCGCCGCGAAATGAAAGGAACGGAAGCATCAATTTCGCCTCGTTACGCGAATTCGCTTGGTGCTCGAGAATTCTCACAGCCACGTTTATGTTTACAACCTTCAGCTATTTAATCTAGATCCTATAGACTTACATCCCCATAAACTAGGAACTAGTTACGCAGTGTTTTGTTCATATCACTCAAATACCATTTGTCATTCGATAAAGAGACAAAAGAGAGTAACTAATCCAAACTTATTCTTCGTTTATTAATAAGGGGGATAGGGCCTTAAGATCGCCCTACTACACTTCACGCTACTTCCCGTGGTTTCCATAGACGGCACAGACAATCGCTAAGGCCATTCTCAAGAATGCACAAGGTTTCTGCAGAAGACGCGCAACCATTTTTTGGCTCGTATATACTTTGTAGGTATGTTATATAACCGACATGAAGTTCTTTATGCTATGCACAACTTCATTTCAAACATTTCGCTTAATACTAATACTTAACACAAACAATAAACTCACTAAAAACTTTTACCAAAACGTAACTAATTCTTAAAAATCGTTTAACCACTAACTTATATTTTTTTTAACTCTGAACCGATAACCAATGCATTATATAAGAAATGTATACCTTTTAGCACGGACTATATAATAAAGAAAACTTCTTAAAATAAAATCGCTTACATTTGATTCCGCAGCGGTATAATTGAGCCTTAGGTTACCAGGGATTCTCGCGCAGTTTCAAGCCGAATTTATGCGCGACTAACGAAATATTTTATCAAATCAATACGAATACGCGAAGTTTATGTGGTTTATGTAATGATTTTCGAAATTAGGAGCGTCCTTCTGACTATTTTCTATTTTGTGATACCTCTAACTACACAGTTCAATAATTATAAACTTTAATACTATAGAAGAAGGTGAGTTAGTTGGAAGAAGGAAATAAATCCCAGATTTGTTCCCTTCTTCCAACTAACCGCTTTTTCGAAAACATGAAACAATATAAAGATAAAGTAATTTGTTCCCGTCTTCTGACGAATACGGTACGGTTACGTATAAAGTACACAACGACATGTAAAAGTGAATTTTGGAAAAATGGTGTTTATTCCCTTCTTCCAATTGGTGGTTCAATTGTTATTGTATTTTTTACAAAACTGTAGTACAAATTGCATTGGCGAAATACTGTTCAGCCAGTGTTTTAGAATAAGTCTCAAGATTTCTGTAACATTGTCTAATATCTACCTTCATTTCAGTGTTCGTAAATAAACGTTTTTATTGATATTCTATTTTTTTTTCTATTGTTCATGTTTCCCAATATGAATAGGATGCGGAAATGAAACATTTGTTGCTTATAAATATTTTTATTTATGAATGTGACTGTTCCGTAGATACACGATCGTTATTCTTCAATAATCTTCATAAAATTAGAAATAGAAAAATAATATCAAAGAGTTACTTTTTCATTGGAACATTATGTCAGATGTATAGTTATTTCTGCCCTTATTTTAAGGTTTCGTCATCATATGCCGTGTCACAAACTGTAACATTTAAAACTAAATTACAATCGTCGGCGTTTAAAGAACATATCATATTTTTCACAAAAGCAATTATAATATTCAAAACTTTGTCCAAACAATGAATTTCTCTAAGAATTATACACAAATGTGCTATTACGTTGCAAATTATATTAAAAATTAAAGATATCATCTATAAAGGAAATTAATACGAAATTATATAATCACGATTACACCACACGAAGGAAAATAATTGAGAAACAAAAAATATCTAAGAGCATAATTATTGACTGCATTGCATTTATTATGGATATTGAATTTATTATGATTTAAAAATATATAAATACCCGAGTAACTGTTTCAACTATGAACACAAATCGTGGCTCGTTTCTATTTATTATACCACTAATACACCGTACAGCACGAGGGTTATATATCTTTACTCGAACATACAAACGTTAGCATTAAATTTCATAGAAAACTCGAGATATAACATGTCGAAGACGGTCACGGAAAGGGACTGAAAGTCATGACCAAACTCTTAGTTAGATCAGTTCAGGGAAAACTAGACAGGAATGTGTGTTATCCGAGCTAGATAGTTTTCGAATAAAGAATTTGATCACAACTCCTTTCTCCATCCCGTTTAAAGGAGAAAAAAAAGGTGGGTGTCGTAAAGACATTCTAGGAATAAAAAAAGTTACTAATTGATTGTTTTGTCTATGCTCCCCTGTGTTAGTGTGTGTGTGAAAGCAGAGCTAGATTCGCTGTTAAGGGCGCAGGACGGTTTCCTAGGGATTGCCTACTGCACACAGCAAGCGTTCTTGTGCCCGTTCTTCTTGAGACGCGACTTCGGTCGGTACTTCTCCAGGTAAGAGAGCTGTTTGGCGTTGATCGCCCCGCGTCGTTGACTGGAAATTAAAATTGATATTGTTAATAACTTGTGTTAAGAAAAAACTTTTCCAACACTTATTTATGAAGATAAGATTTGCATAATGACCGCTGACCAGAAGGTCATATAAAGAATATACGCTTAAATAACAAATATAGGTTGTCTATAAAGCATAAAACATATTTTTTTTTAATAATAATAAGCTCGCATACTAATTTAAGATCTAATCGATAAAATGTCAAGGTTCTTAATTGAAAGCAATCAAATATCTAATGATTTGAACTTCATAATGACATATATATACATTAAAGAGCAATCTCTTTTCCATTATCCATTGCTATTAACCAGCATTAAGTAGTTAGGTATATTCTAGTCGCATTTAATTATTATCCTCTAGTAGATATGTAATCTTTATCACTCTTGCATAATATTTAATTTTCATTTTATGAAGTATAATAAAGTGCCATAAAAAATGAAGTCATTATTCTGTCTTTCTAACCAGCAATTATGTTAAAAATATACCACTTATTACTGTTGCACATATGGCTAAAGTAATAAAAAAACAAGTCTCCTGTTACAGTATTTTTTATATATATATATAGAAATAAGAGAAGACAAGAGCAAAATTTGATATTTATCAAATGTATTCAATATTTGTCGCTATTGTAAGTTTCCAAGATTTCCAGGCGACATTTGATTTTTATCATTCATAAATATTTATACCGTCGCATGTACTGCAAGATATGAAATAGTATCTAGATTGTCCCGTAAACCTTGTTTAAACAGCATAAAATTCAATATCAATTGACGAAAGCGATAAAATACTTCCGACGACCGATAAGCTATTTTGATAAACTACAATTATCGTTACTAAATCTAAGTCAATACAGCGTCAAAGCCATCGTCACTTGATACATGACATGAAAAACTGATAATAATTCGTAAGTAGTACAATCTACTGGTTATTTTCGTAAAACAAGCATCTAATTCTCATGTAGCAAGTCTTTTACAAACAATTCTTTTTTATAAATCTTATAAGAAATTAAAAATAAACTTACAACTGTTATAATATTTTAAATCCCCTAAGGAGAGTAAAATCGTAAGAAAAATTGACAAAATGAAAACAAGAAGACTTCCGAGATGAGAGATATAAATGTGCTAAAATCACACTCTCCTACTACTTGCCATATTAATTAAGGTTTCAATTTCTAATTACGTTTGCCGATAACTTAACATTGACAGTTGTACTTAACCCGAAAAGCAACTATCATCGTATGAGCAGACTAGATTACTTTTGTCCGCAATAATAGATCGCTTTCAACTGCATAGAGTACCGCACAAGAAGGATTAAAAATATCGCGTACAAAAAGTCCCCTGAACAACCGAGGACACTGCTCTCAGTGTCCTCGATTGTTCAGGGGACAGACTGGACAAAAGTACGTGGTTGTTCCCATAAAAATAGACAACGTGTGACTAGGCGAAGCAACGCATACAGCAACCTTAAGTTAGCGTTGTGCGCTCGATCCGATTTAAAGAGATGGTTCCAGTATTCTACTTTGAAACTTCTCCTTTTCCTAAACTTCATGTTAATTACAACAATTACAATATTAATATAAAATAATTTGATATTTGCATGCTAATTTAGCGAATCATGTTTGAGCACCATATGTATTGTAACATCTATTTATTGTACCTGTTTCTTGTAAATAAATATGAATATGAATAAAAACACTAAGTAATCTGAGAATATTTACTTCCATAGCGTGCGCTTCTCTTAATTTTTGGGCAAGAAATGTAAGCACACCTTTCTCGGCGGACATTTTTTTTTACTTTAATGAGACTCGTCCCCCGCGGACAAAAGGCTCGTCTTCGCAGGTCATAAAAGTGTATAGTGCGTATCAAACTTTATGTCGGATGTGAAGTCAGCAGCGAGTTCAGTTTAGTGATTTGCCGCTCTAACCTAATCGCCGCGACTTACGCTGACTTCACAGCCATCACCATATCAGTCTAATAATGTCCCAACTGCTTGCGGCACAGACCTTCCCCACCACGCGGGCCCAGTGCTGAACAGTGGGTGCTAACGACTGCAGATGAAGCCGGGACCAACGAGTTGACGTGCCTTCCGAAGCACGGAGAGGAGCTCGAGATAGTAATTTTTGGTCACCCATCCAATTACCGACCAGTGCAAAAGTTGCTTAACTTCAACGATCGCAGTCGAACGCGCTGACCACTTGCGCCATCGAGCTTCTCAACACAATGACTAGTAAACGGTTATAGAACTCACTCCCTGATGGTCTCGACGGCCTCCTCGTACTTCATGCCGAGCTCGATGAGCGCTATGGCGACCATGACGGGCGCGCGGCCCAGTCCGGCCACGCAGTGCACCGCCACCGCGGACTCGGGCTTGTTCTGTGCCCTGCAAACAATCGTAACAAATTCAATTATCGAATCTCAATCGTAACACATTCAATTATTAAATCTCAATCATAACACAATTATCAATTATTCTAAGCTTTATTGACCAAAATACAAGAGAATGGTACAAAAAGCGGACTAATAGCATTCTCTCTCAGTCAACCTTTGGGAAAAAATAAAAAACGCGAAGCGGCGGTATAAAAAATGTCTTTCTCATACACACTTACACACGTCCCATAGGGGGCGATTTCTGGTGTAAAATCTATCATATGATCTTTGCCGGTACTCAAACTATCTTTATATCAAATTTCATCTAAATCTGTCCAATGGTTTAAGCTTAAAGATGTTACAGACAGACAGATGCATTTATAATATTAGTATAGATAAATAAAATACCCCCTATCGCAATCCCAACCCTTATCCACAATAAAACTGAAACTGGCAAAAGTATTCCGAGTCAGTGAACAAAAAAGCCTTGACTCCAAATGAAACCGAGTGAATTGCTATGTGAAAATAAGAATTCTGCTTCTTTTTTTAAATTAAATTTGATGCTAAACATTTAATGCGGCAGACGCGAGATCGTCTGTTGCTCGGCAAAGCTCAATGTTAAATACTTATTGGTGTGAAACATCTATTGCGGCAGTGGGTGTTGCTCAATAAATAAATGTTGGATACTGTCACAACAATCATCACGTTATAATACATATAAACATCTATGACAGCTAGGAAAACAAATGTGTTCATCACACAAACATTTGCCCCCTCTGGGATTCGAACCCGAAGCCACTGGATTCGCAGTTTACTTACAATAAGCACCATAATTTAGTCTGCATGTGTGAGAATCACCACTTAGTCTGCATTTGTAAGAGCTACATTGGTCTAATGCAACAACGATCCCTATATAGTCTGTCCATTTTCACTTCACTTTCATTCACTAATTTATTTTCATGAACCTCTTTTAGATCTTTTTATTATATCTAATAATGTTATGTTTCACATATCCCAGGCTGTATTATTTATACAATGTGTACTTAGGTGTACAAACTTATAAGTGATGTGTGATGTGCGGTGTAAACAGACTTTGAAATCTAATCCATTAAACAGTCAGTCACCAAAGATAATGTAAACACTTTTCGTACCCCATAATGATTGTACGAGTAATATTGCGCATCACGAAATCAAATTAAATCACTCATTTATCTGCTATAATTACACGGAACAATACAAATATGTTTATCAGACTGACCTTCAATTAGCAAGTGCTTGGAGGTTGCCTGTCTGAAAAAACATTTAGCGCACTGTATGGAAGATGAATAGCAGAGTTTTTCGGGTCGATAAATAACTATGATGAGTAATGAATTGCGCCGGTAGAGAATGCGTCAGTAACACAACTTGTAAAGTCGTCTTCGTCATCTTTGTTCAAATTACAATACAAGGTAATTAGACCAACTGTGGGGAGACAAATATTAGCCATGAATACCATTTAAGATGTCATTTTAAGGCTATAATAGTAGCTCTAAAATCAACATTATCAAGCACTTAGGGGCTCTTGTGTTGAACAAAGTTAAGAGTTTTTCTAGACAATAGGGAAGATGCATATATAATATTTATGAAAATTTTATGTTTAAAATGTTAAAAAAATATAAAAGAAATGCCACTGCAACGTTTTTATTTTACATAATGTTGTTGTTTAACAATTATTAGGAATTAAAAATACTTGAAACAGAACGTATTTTTAAACACCAATCAGCGTTTAGTGACGTCACTCCTGTTATGACAACTTCTTTGAGGTTATGGTTGTAAAAGTAAATATTATTTTATGGGAATATTAATTGCGTTTTTTTTACATTTAATAAAAATGGAAGTTGCGTTTATCAAAGCAGACTCCAGGAATTTACCAAGAGTTAGTATTGACATGGTTATAATTTTTTTGTCCAAAGTGCAGAGTTTTTAAGTGTAGAAATGAAAGGGACTATATTACTACGGTATGCAAAAATCGTAGTTGTTAAACTTCGTATTTCATTCGGCGGGTTCTACAAATCTTACGGCGATAATGCAATCGGCTATGTCCAAATTAAAAGAGATGGAGAATTATGTACAGTAAAAGGTCGAGTTCTCCGGAGCATAAAGTACGTAAAGAAGGTTATCGTGTTACAGTTATTTTAAATGAAACGCAAAGCTTGGTTCAGTCCTGCCAATGTGAAGATTGTGCCACACATTTTAAACTTTATCTTATTTTCGACGTCATTCTCCAACTGTAAAATTAAAAATATGTTATAGACAGGTTTTGTAAGTATTAGGTAGGTTACTAATGCGTTTTTACGTACAAGCAGATTAATTAAGCATATAACAAGTATATTCGCCGACTTACGTCAAAGTGATCTTCACAGCATCGAATAAGGGTCTTTGGAGAATAATTGTCATTTCTCTCCGCAGCTTGAAACCATTTTAATTTCAGTTTTGGGTCAGAAGTTCCAGTCAAAAACAATTTATTTGGAAACTTTGTTGAAGTAGATTGGCACAATACATGAGTTAACACGGCTTTTTTTCGGGATATTAGTGGTATTGTTATGATCACATGATGTTGATGGATAGTCCATTTTAAATTTTTCAAAAAAATATTTCGAAAGTCGAAAAAATATGCAAAAGTATGAAAATTTAAAGCCAGCGACGAACAAGTACGACCAGTGACAGACCGGAGTGACGTCATCGCAACCATAGGTTCGTTTTCGCGCGAAAATTTAAATTGTCAATTTAAAACCGCATTTTTTCCGATAAATCACAATGTTTTAATTTTTTAATATATCTGTGGTTTATTCTACATGGAATTCTTTAAAATGAAAGCAAAAATAAAAATATTGCATGTTCCCTATTTAATGCGAATTGTGAGTCATAAAAGTAATGTAATTTTAATTGGCTTAAATGCAAAACAGGTTTTTTCGCAAGTGAACTTAAGTTGCGTTCCAATTTTGTTTGTTATTCCTGTCTTGGGTGCGTGGGCTATAGTGTTAGTGATTGTTCATGGTTCATGGACTCCACTCTTCCTTCACTCAAGAATCGGACACTACAGTCTTTGCGTCTTTTCTGATTTGCCTACACACTCTCCGGCAGTATCATACCCTGTTAATGATTAAAAAGGCAAAATGTCACTCTTTATCATTTCCACACAATGTCATAATGTTTGGATTGCACTATACTCACTTGTCACGCAGAATCTCGAACCAGTCGTCGACCACGTTGGTGGGTGGGAAGGTGCCGTCGTCGTACGCCAGGTCGCGCACCTCGATGCCCTCGGCCTTGAGCGGCGCAGTGTCGTAGCTGGGCTCGCACACGCGCACCACTGTGCACACGCTGTGCTTGCGCAGTTCCTATCAAACAAAATCGTGCTCGTTTCAAGTACACAGCGACATCATCATCAGGCATATAGCACTCCCACTAGTCTGCATTACATTAGTCAATTTTTGTTTGAAATTTGAGGATCGTTGGCAGATCACGGTCGGATGACAAATCAGGCGCAAATTTTTATTGCGATTTAACTTTGTATTTTGGGGGCGTGTCAAACGCTTATACAGTATTACTGTATAATGGCTAATGGAATTCGGACAAACTACTAGTGTAAATGAACGGAGTCGAGTACGCCCGTATTCGGACAGTTTTCGTTTGGTTACCCGACGCCGTCTTCCAGCCCGTGTTCGAGTAAAAACAATCTAAATATTGCATCAGGTGCCCGAATTCGAGTAATGTCTTTCGTGCACCCGAATGCGCCTTAAGCTTGGCAAAAGTGGATGCCCTTATATGCGTTCTCTAATTAGGGGTTCTCTGTGTCATTTTATTACCCGTACGACGCCCACTACTGGCCATAGATAGGCCTCCTCCAACCAATCGATCCAAACATCTGGAGTAAAACCATAGACAAACTTGCAGAGATTTTGAATGTAAAATTGCAACTGCTCGGCGTGGACTCGGCAGCGTGGCACTCTGGTCGCGACGGTAGGAATGGACCTCTCGCTGCCCAGCGTGGTGATAACCATGCTCGAGAGCGACAGGTCCTGGGAGGCAGTGGTGTGGTGTGCGAGATGATCTCCTCGCAGAAGGAGGCTGCGGAGAGCCCGAGAGGAACAGGCCCTCGCGGGCTCTCTTCGCAGCAGAAGGAGCAGGAGGCGAAGAGGTGGGCGCAGGATAGCTCATCTGCTGCCACCCGGACATAGGGGGAGGCCCTATATAGGGCATGAGGGAGGGAAGGGTCCTTATTGGGACCAGGGGAGGCCGGCCACGTTAGGGATCGGATTAGGAAAACGGCCCTTTTCAGGGATAGGGTGGGTGGGAGCACCACCCCACAGAGGTTTTTATCAATCACTGTCACTGGAGGTAGGTGATCAAAAGACCCTTCTTAGGGCCAAGGGGGGTAGGAGAGGGACGGAGAGAACTACGCTCTCCCTCTCACTCCTGCGAGAGCCGCGAGACTGTGGGGGGACGGGCTCGCATTACACAAGCTCTCAGGAGGTCCGTTCGCGGACAAACACCTGGCGGGTGCGCGGCCATTAGGAAACGGGAGCCGCGACCACACCCGCTCTCTCGGCATGCAAGCCTTTGTTGGTTTATGTTCAAGATGTTTGCTAGAATATGTATCGATTTATCTAATTTGAGTTTGTGTGTTTGGTTCTAGAAGTGTAACGAAGGAGATCCTGGCTACTGGCTTCTAAGTTTGAATCTCGGTACATAAATATGTAGTTGTTCCCGATTCATTTTTTTTAAACTAACACATTTTATATGTTCTTTAGTTTCATTATTCCGAGATCTACTCAGTTACTTAAATATATTTAAACATCTAGCAGTTAAATGCTTAAAAAATAAAAACAGATATTATTTTTTTGTTAAATTGCGTCACAGACCACAGTTTAACGCAGTACGCCTTAAAACGTAAAAGCCAATCTAAAAAAAAGACGAGCTATTTAGATTGCGCGTACGTATAGATAGAGCATAGTGCGAATCAAAATTGTCTGCTTTGAAGTTAGCGCGAGTCGACAACGAAATGTAGGATGATATAGACGCGTGCAACTGAATACAGCGCATAGTTAAAATCACAGACCTAGGCTACATTAAAGTAGACACCGTGTCAGATTTTAAGTAAATAGGTGGTGAAAAGCATGGGCCCGGTCACCCATTTCAATTAGAGCTACCTTTTTATGTCTCACCAGATGGCGTCACTGTTGAGGGAGGTCTTGAAGTGTGGCTGTTGAACTTTGTTATATATATATGCGCGTAAAGACAAAGTTTAGATTTAAAATCATATTTAATACAATTAAACTAAAGTGTTGCGCAGTTCCCTTTCTTCGGAAAAAAGGACAAAGTTTCCGAAAGATAAAACTCTCTCTCAAAGCAATGTCATTCATTGACCCGTAACTCATGTTTGACATAATGAATTTGAGTTCTAGTCAAATATTCACAACATTATTTAAATTAGAAATAAACCCGCGAAGTCAACCTACAAGCAATGACATTTGACATTACGGAGACCTCAAGCTACACAAGCGCCTCTAGCGGCGGATTCATACGCGACAGCCCTCATTGGTACTATATATATCGTTTTCACAGCATACTATGACATAGTAGGATACTTTTCGAATATTCAATCCGATTCCATTGACATGCGGTATCGGGAACGGTGACGTGAAGAAATATATTAGCGTGAATGGAAGACCATTGGTCGCCCTTATGGCAAGCGAAGTACATACACTTGCGTTATTTATTTCCATCTATATCTGTGGTTGAGAGCCCTGCTAACTCAACCGCCATAAAGTTTGAATCGCACTATACGTCGGTCAACAATAAAGTTGACGCGCTAGTTATATAGATGTTTTCAAATTAAAAATATTCTAAGCCTGTGCGTAGGAGCAACGCAGATATTTTAATTAATATTAATTTAGACATAAACCCCATTATTAATAAACGAAGACCAAGTTTGGATTAGTTACTCCATGTTTTGTCTCTGTGCATTGAATGACAAATAGCACTTGCGTGATATAAACAAAACACGGCGTAAATAGTCGAAATTTATTCCTCGTTTATTAATGGGAGAGTAAAAGATAGGAGACTGAGATCAAAACAAAAACAATGTGCGTCACTGTTCTTCCATTTCTCCTACGCAGATTATAATCTGCCACTTTTACTAACAACTATCAACGAACAAGATCACTAAAAGCGCCTTTAGTAATAATGTTATTATGTCCAACTGCTTGGAAGTGATAATATAAATTAAAAGTCTTGTTTACTTGGCCAGTTTATGTAGCGTGAAGCTAGTATAGTACTAGTATAATAAGTCACACAGGACTTTCAATTATTGGTTATTCATACAAACTTTCAGCCCCTGTCCCCCCACAAGACTGAAATTGTAGACAAAAAGTAGTTAATTTGCTCTTCCATGGACCACTTATCCTACTTCCTACTTCTTCCACTTTAACTCTACGCTTTCATTAAACTTGTTTCACCGGTTAGGACGAGCTAGCAGACAGTCAGAAAGAGCTAGTTTCGCATTAAAATACAATTTTGTACAGACGAGTATAAAGAATTACCTGCAGATAGGCCTGGATGGTGACGTCGGAGGGGCGGTCGGTGATCAAAAACCGCATGCCCTTGTACTCGATGAGGGACGGCGCCGGTCTGATGTCCTTCTGCTTCATGGTGATCACTTTACTCTTCCTTCACTCGAAATCGATCGCGTCTCGCGCACTACACTACTATCTTCGCCGATGTTGCTTACACACCCTTCGGAGGTGTCACAGTCCGTCAAAGATTAAACAGGCAAACTGTCACTCTATTTCCACACAACACACGTCAGTTTCGTAACTTTTGTTTAGAAAGGGTCCAATTATATCATGAGAGCCGCCCGCATGGATTTCGTTTTCAACCACTCGAGCGCATAATACGTAAACGGATAAACAAAAGTGCTGAATGTGGAATGAAACCAAAAGAGAATCACACGAGAAACATAAGTTTATCGCTGTCGTGGGTACGTCACTCGGTCTTGGGCGATGATATGCTCCAATTAACAGCTTACTCCGAAATTAAGGTAACTGAAACAAAAATACACACAGTACGTTAGAACTGTCGAACGCGCACATTTAAAGGAGCAATTCGCGGGATTTATCATTTTAGATATGCGCTTGCGTCAAAGCCAGATCAACAACTGAAGTGGAACAAAAAAAAGAACTGCTCTAAAAATAGTGAGTTCTGAATTTCGTTGCGAAGTTCGGGTCATGTGGACGTGTGTGTTTACCGGCACGGTGGTATTCGCGAGTGTTGAATGCTGATCTAGAGCCAACGGCGCGGGCGCGGCGCGGCGGCTCGGCGGCGGCGGACGCGTCACTTGTCAGCGCGTTCACCGCACGCCGCACTCGAGCTTGTTGGTACAACATGATAAACGCATCGTAAACACTGCGCCATGCAACACTTCATTGCCTACTTTACTGTTAAATACCTATTACTGCATTGCGATTGGCTGCACTTGAAATAAGTCAGGTATGGTCATCACCTACGTGCGCGCACACCTATTTTTTCTGTCCTCCAAAAGTTTAGTAAAAAAAAGTTGGCTTTTGGACGTAAATCGCTTGCTCCAGATCTTAATACTTTTCAGTTTCATCTTTTAATTGAGATCATGCTCGAGAACTATCTAGTAGTGTCCATTCGCCAACTTCTTGATACACAATAAGCTAGCATCCTGGTTATGGTCTCAATAGCCTACCACGAATCATGGTTTAATATCATTTAGCGCGCTCAATGAGCCGAAAGCAATTGGCATATCAAGCAATGAGCAAATGTCAGTTCGGTCGGCTTATCTCAAGATCTTAAAATTCTACCCACTGGGCAGTTGGGCTCCGTCCAACTTATAAGTACCTAAGTATATGTAATTCTGAATCCACTTCAGCGCTTTTTTCTTTTCAGGTAATTGTGTTCGTCGGGGTCTTCATTTCATATCGATAATTTCACAGTACGAATGTCGTTGAGCTACATGTGTAATATAATAGCCATCTGGCTAAGTAGTGGCGTTTTCCCTTAATAGTCAAACTAAGCTTAAAATCACATAATGGCATAAGCGTATTATCGTATTCTAACGTGTCGTGTTCAAGAGCAGATAGGTATTAAGCAAGGGTAGAAAAGGCAAAAAGGGACCGCGCGACTCTTGTAAGCACCGATTTAACATCCGGTGTCCCGTGACAGAAAATGTGTAGGCAGGGATTATTTATCAAGCCGCATTATCGAATATTGGTGTTTCGATACGTGAAATTGACGTTTCTGCCGACACAACTCATTAAATAACGTCGGAAACATAATCCGTGCATATATTAATCGGATGTATGGATGGATCAAGAGTATGATTACGGTCAGATGTCCCCGGACTATTGACTGGTATAGTAGACTTTTAGATCATTGCAATTTTTTTTTTCAATTAATTCAAAATTTTGATTCCTAAAATACACCGGGCAATACAGGTGCTTTTATTGAAAACTTTTTAATATAACTTTACGAATTGCCAACGGTAACTCTATTCAATTTTACGTATTCAATTCACCTTTTTCTTATACTGTACGAATTGTGATAAATAAAAGGCCTACAAAATATAAAAAGCAACATGAAGAGGTTTCCGTGCAAAGGGTGGACGAAACTTTCGAGGTTGACAAACAAGCCAAAACATTTAACGGGGAAAATTTAGATATTGTTGCGAAACTCAAGGAAAATACAAATGTAAACAGGAGAAAGTGAAGCCAAATAAACACTGTATTGAGAGCGAGGTGACCTTTTGCACGACATACCTACGTTCGGCGCAATTTCAACAAAATAAGTTTTCACTTTAACATTTAAAAGTTTGTTAGGTAAGCAATTTGTGGTGCGATGTGTAATTATAGTCCCGGCCAGGTAAATTGAATTACTCGCTCCATTAACTTTTTATTGGGCTAACCTGTCTTATCAAAGAACTCGTTAATTATATCAGTTTGAAAATACTTTGTCCGACCCCAATATAAGGAAAATGGGTTATTTCAAGGATCAAAAAATTAGAACCGTATGATATAATCATTCGCGAGGTGTTAATGAATTGTGCTCATGATCTTTTAGTGCAATCAATCATTCTAGTCAAAACTATTTGCGAATCACATTGTCTCGAAACAAAATCTATCTCTACTCGATGCGTAGTTCTTTCCAAATTTCATTGAAAGTCGCATCAACACGCCTGAATCACGCGCGAAACTTGCGTGCCATCCACAAGCGTCACGTATAACTATTGCGCCGTGTTATCTTGTACAGAAGAGGTTATTGCCAGAGATACACTAGTGCAACGATTATAACTTATAATGTTACGTAAACAAAGGCGTTGATAATTATAATGTGAGAATGCTTTATCATAGACAGGTTATACGCCTACATGACCTTGACTGTCCATGTTCATGTGCGTGTTTAATTCAATAGTTGGGTAAATAAAGCCCATAGGTAAGCGATTATCCATCCAATTTTAAACGACCTTTAGGTAAAGTATCCTCAACCTATAAATAAACCTGCAGTCAAATGTTGTATAGTTGTATTCCTATCGTGTGCGAGATAGCGAAAAAGACAGGAGTAGGAAGTCCTCCCTAGTTCCTATCGCAAATGTCTAGCTAGGTAATCGCTTAATAAACCGGCTCACATGCTTCATATGCTTGTTGCCATACCACACACAAAAATATTACTGTTTGACATGACTTATTATAATCAAGCGGCTCATGTTGCCTTGCAAAACACAAAAATAATACTGTCTGTGATGTTTTTTTTAATGTGTATGCTGTTGGTAGCAGATTACGTTTACAGCGTCACCGGGTTTGTCGACCGCAATATCCTAAAGGGACCTCAAGCCGAGAATTGGCGTGCGTCTCTGCCCCGTAGGAAGTCTTCTCTCCATCTGGAGCCTCTAGACCACTCAGACCTGATAGAGTCGGCTCAACTAGGGGCGTCGCCGAGACTCTGACCTCAGCTCTAGGCGGTAGGGGGCGGGGAAAACCGCCCAGGTATTATATTATACTCGGGTAGGATTCGAGATGAGTTTCGACTTTTCGAGTGAGTGTATTTACCTGCGGTCGGGGTGCCAGCGGTAATGTTCGCGGGGTGCGTGTTTGAGCGAGCGCTCCCAGCTGCATCGGTCCAGTTCGTGCGCTCTTGCCACCTCGCACTAAAAGCTCTACTCCCACTTTATTTGTGTTGAGCCTGGCAGTACTCCGCGCTGTCCAAGCGGAACTCCATCAATGTCGCTACAGAAGGGTTATCCAGCTGTGAACAAGCAAAATATACGAAATTAATCATCAGATTTAAGAATTTGTTTCACGGCATATCTTAACTTTAACATTGGCTTTATGTAAAGACAAACAATTATGAGAAAGTCACCTTCTAAAACTAATTATCCACTAATATTCTAGCACGGAATACTAATATTTTTAAAATCTATTAAAACTCGTTAAGAGTATGTAACGGTTACATCCTCAATTAATCGTAAATATTTACAGGGCGATCGATCTAATAATTCAACAACGCCGTGTTGTTTTGTTTGATCAACTGCTCCAAAATAAACTTTTAATAAAATGTTTGCAAATTTTCCCACATGTACGATACTGGTTTACTTGCTAGTACACCATTGATGTATCCGATTGTAACTCTTTAAATTTTTGAGAGTGGTCTCCAACTGGAGATAAAACTGAGTTTTGTGGTTATCAGTGGCAATGATATCCGGCGCCGTCTGTAAAGCTTATCATTAAACTTCAAATAAAAAAACGAAGATAAAGAACATTCACAACCTATTTTAGGCACTGATGAGGGTATTTCTTAAAAACTGAAGGTCGTGACATTTCTCCAACAGTTGCGGTAATAGAGAGTAAAATCCCAAAACAACCAAACGGCAAATTTCGCCCGCAGTACAAAACAATGACATTATTTTCCACAACTTAAAAGGGCTTCACACAGCACTTTCTTGGAAACAAATCTCGGTAACATTAACGAGGTACTGGACTGGACTGTACGAATAACGAAACGACACTTCGGGGCTCGGCAACTGGCGACGCCACAATATTTGGCAAAACTCCGACAAATCGTCGCGTCATAATGGCTGTTTACGTTTTAGTCAGCAATCAATTTTTAGATTCACACGAGTACAAATTTTATTAAATTGTTTATATTAAACTCTTCAGAGTATTCTTTTACAAAGTCTTTTAATAAACTTTTGAAACGAGCACTAAACAAACAATTAGGTAGGATCAAAATTAAAGTGGAGCAAACAGAAATAATACAGATTACGGACAAAATAATTTCGATGTAATATTCCGTGAATGCAGACAAAACACTATTAAATTTTGCTCTTACTATTATCGTCAACATAATAATTATGAGACAACTAATATGTTTATTATTCATAAATAATTGCCACTCTTGTGAATATGCAAATAGGACAATACCTAATTCTTAGTAAACAAATAAGTCACCTACACAGCCATTAAATGAAATGAAGACTTTTTAGGCTACTTTAAAAGCTATTGAGTACAAGCCAAAACCCAGTTTGGTAAAACATTCTGCTGAAAGACTTCGATCTTTTATAATTATTGCATGATTTTTTATTTAATACAATTTATTGAGGGAAACACTTGAAACAGTAAACAATGTATTCATA